ATCGAAATGATTACTGTAGGGAGAAAGGCGTTAGTTTCCCCAAGTATATAAAATCACAAGCATAACTATCCCAGAGAGGGTAAGCCCTAGCTAAGATGTGTGACAATGCATGTATAACTCAATATTGTTATTAGTGCCCAGATCTTCGTGTCTTCCAGCCACACGTCTCAAAACTGAACGGTATGTGCATGCAATCACAAAATTAATATTGATACATTATATAGAACTCATGTTTTTTAAACAGGCAGAACAGTCTTTCTCTCTCACACACAAATACATACAAATAACCTTATCTCTGAGGTTCCAGAGCTATCCCATCGCACTTCGAATACAGAATCATTCGACCAGGAATAATGAAAGCAGAGGAAAAGGAAGAGCAACTGGCCTCTTAACCCCATCGAAACTATGACTGAGAGCAAAAGAAATGAAAAGTCAAATGATGTTTCAAGAGAATGGAGAGATATTATAGACTACGTAACCTATGATCTTGTCACACCTGTAGTCCCACAGGTGTTAGTAGTAGTTCGTAGATGTTAGATCGATCTAGTATCGATGTTTCGTGAGGTACCGGTCCGGTTATGGTGTGGTATCACGTGATACTTTGCGTAGCTAGTTAGCAGCCAGCTCCACCCTAGATCTGATATTGCAGAAATGTTCCAGGTACTATGCTTCTTGTTTTTGCTCTCTCCTGCCATCACAGTTAATGGGCAAGTTGACAGCGATGTCCCACAATGCAGAGGTATCTTTGATTTCTACTTTGTATTGGACAGGTTAGCTGCAACTGGTTATGCACAAACAGTCTTGCTATGCACTTGTAAACTATCAGCTTTACTTTACATATCATAATAATGTGTTATCTATAGTTCTGGTAGTGTCGGTGGAAACTTTGCAACTGAAATAGTTCCTTTCGTGAAAAATGTATCAGTCAATTTTGTGAAGTATGCCTACTATAGATAGATTTTAGCTATAATATTTAATTAATATACGAATCTTCCTTCCAGCCCAAATTTCCGACTGTCATTTATCACATTTGCATCTAATAGTCTCATACTTCTTGACCTAACATCAAATAGGTAAATTTGAGCGTGTTACGGAATAATCATTTATATAAATACAGAACACAAATAGAAACTGGTATTAAAAGACTTGAGTCTCACACTGTTGGTGGAGGAACAAACCTATCCCCTGGACTAAGCATGGTATAACCCCACAGAGATTACTTGATAATAATAATGAGTATTAATATTATACAGGTCAATAATCAAATGGATAGTCTTGGAGGTGATACGGCAAGTGTTGTGCTGATACTTACCGATGGGGAAATAGGTGATCAAACAGCAACTATTAATGAAGTGAGCAAACATCTGAATTACTGAGCCTAATGTGGAGTGCATAAATGTATAATAGGCTTCTAAAATTCGTCAAAAAGGAGGATCAATTTTTGCTATAGGCATTGCTAATGCAAACAGAGAGCAGGTAAAAATATAACCAAAAAATTTACAGAAATAAATTATATTGTTATTCTATTGCTATCAATAGTTGCTTGGTCTGGTGACTGATGAGAAAGAATTGTTTATTGGTAGTGACTTCCAATATTTGACAACAATTATAAATCAGGTGCCGGTACATTCATTGACTTACAAAAAGCTCATACTTTGATTGCACACTGCATGCATTTACCTGCATGTATGTACATGCATGTACACAATATAGGTCATCAATGACACATGCATTGAGATATTAGGAGCTAATCCTACCCAAATATGCACTAATCAAGAGGGGCTGACAACAACACTGACTGGACAAGGATTCACTAACACTTTCAATTCTAATTCCACTGCTTGTCGTTTTATATACAACGAGACACAATTTGAAAGTAAGATTAATTTTATTAGTCCAATTATTATAATACTTTATTAATGTGTATAGTTACTAAACCAGTGGGCAATATACAATATGACAGAATAGTCTGTTCTTTGCCGAATTTCGAAACTTCACAGTAAGTAGTAAGTTACACTATAGACTGCTATGTAACAGCAATATAGGGACATTTTGCTTCAAGTGACACTTAATGGAATTTCATTCATTTCAAGCAATGTTACAATATCAGCTCAAGATTGTACGCCTACCACAGGAACAGTATGCATAAAAATGGTTAGATATACTGATAACATTTTTCAAATAGTCTCCAAATGCTGGCTTGGCAGTTGGCCTGACATTTAGCATGCTGGCTCTTCTAATACTCATTGCTTTGCTTGCATTGTGGTTTTTTATACCTTTGCTAACTGGAGTAGGTTCTAATTAATATTTTGCCAATTTTATACATTAATTTTGGCTACTATAGAAAATTATTTCATTGCCAAAAAAGGCTGATCCTGAAACGCCAGCTGATCCAACTCCACCTCAAAAGTGGTCAACGGTTGATGCATCTTATTATGGAGGAAGGGGATCTGGTGGAATAACGCCAATGAAAGTTCAATGGGGAGACAAAGGAGCTACTATTGAGGGCTCAAGGCTAACAGCTGCAAAAGTAGATCAATACTCATTGTTATAAAAACAATGTAAAGTAACACATTTTAGGATGCCAAAGAAGTGGATGTTATTACTGGAAGTATGGCTCAAGAAAATGATAGAGCTGGAGCTAAAAAACCATCTTTGTTTGAAAGAATAAAAGAAAGAATAAAGGTATTGCTTTGTGCAATGGTAAAACTTAATTATTTATTTACATAAAGACATGGCTTTTATCGTTTTACTTCACAATATCTTCTATAAGGCCAATTAGAGGGCCCGAGGTATGAATTCAAGCATTCACATAACTATTATAGTACTAATCATTTTTTAGGGTAATATAATGTGGTGTCCATACCACTATATAACTACTCAAAGACAATATGCTACCGGCTCTGATCCTCTTCCTATGGCAAACTCAAAACCAACGTCAAGCATTGCTAGGAACAGCCATCACACAGATGTCAACTCTAACACAAACACAGGGAAACAAGCTAAAATAACCAGAGCTGCTAGGTATAGTTGGACTACTGTATATATGCTTTGTTGCTCTATTGATTTTATTGTATGTACATTAAAAGCATACTTTTAATTGTATTGAATAGTACTAGCAGCCCAGGTGGTAATAATTCCCCTATACCTGTATCAACTGAATCTCCAAGGTATGATAGTCAACACACTCAATAATTGATATAATTCTGCCACTTGTTTTAACAGACGTCCAGCACCACCAGTACCTTCACGCTCTAATACTCTTCCAGCCAGACCACCGAGACCCACTGCCCCAACAAAAACTAGTACCTTGCAAGTTGCAACAAACGAATGATTGATTAATAGTTTTTTTTAAATACTTTGTTAGTTTGTGTAAAGTACATTTATAATTACAATGATTGTTACATTGTCAAAAAATAAGTATATGAAAAATAATCCAGTTCACAAATGTGTCAATCATTGTAAATGTGTGAAAAGACTATCAGGAGCTGTGCTGCGTAATAAGTGATCATGACAAACTCTTTAGCAAGAAAACTCGAAAGAGGTCCTCTCCACAAATTCATCGAGATCGTCACATCGGAAACATAGAAAAGACAAGCCCCCACACCACCAGCCAGTGTAACCACAGAGACATATTTCTGTACTTGCATAACAGCAGACCACGCCATCAACGTTATGAGGATTGTGTAAATCAAGGCAAGGACTGATAGGCCACACGTCATCTTTGAAACAAGATAAGCGTATATGGCAATAGAGATACAACCAATACAAAGAAGGCTGATTAGCTCTGGAGAACGGACTTGAGTAAAGAGGAAGCCTTCATCAGAAAAAGTGAAGGCATAAAAGCCTTGAGCAACTGCAAAGGACAAGATCCCATACATAAAAAGCGATTTATAGCAGAGATATATGTCACCCATTAGAGAGAATATAACACCCATTGTTACCATGGAGAGTTTCTGAACGTAGTATGGAGACTTTATGTTAAAAGGAGCAGCGTATTTCATACTAACAGAGATGAGGCAGAACAGTAGTGCAAAGAGGGGCAGTATTTTGAAGAGTGCTTTAAGATGGCGGTAGTTGCTCCTTATTATGAAGAACAAGTAAAAGCAGCTGAGAGCACCGTAGACAAGAGATGCAATCTGGTGAACTGTCTCCATCTTTTAGTTTGGGTACTATAGCAGCCTTCACAAATCCAACTGAGTCTGAGATCTGAGACAAGATTCGAATTTTAGCCCACTACACTTTAAGCCTAATGGGCGTGGCAGGACCATAAAATTGTGTAAAAAACATTTCTTTTATTCCAATAAAAGTGAGACAATAATACAATAAAACCCAGCATAGTTGGTTACAGTCAGAATTGGAGAGTCGAGTATGTCAAAAGTAATTTTCCCTCTCCTTGAGCTAGTCACCAGCACTACCAGTTCCCCTACATAAAACATTGAGGCACCAAACACACCCAAAGCCCCATGAAATGTTGCCCCATTTAACTGAATCAATGTAACAGAAAACCACGATATCAGCATTGATAACAAAACTTGCATTAACATCAGGGAAAAGAAAATATCTCTCTTTAGCTTCTGAAGAGAGTAAATTGCAGCAAGAGCAGAAACGAATCCAAACAGGTGAAGTGATATTATCTCAGACACTGTGATGTACGGGATGATCTGACCATCAAATGAAAAAATGCAAATGAGAAAACCATAGGCTACAATGATTGAAATCATCTTGTAAAGTGACATTTTGCAGTAGATGTAGACATCCCCTATCACTACAAACAGTATCGCCCAGACTGTTTTGTTCATTTTCATGAAGTAATATTGTGTGGTGTTCTCTATGGGCTTGTACTGATCCAGGTATGTCATGATTGCTATGAGAGAGAGGAGTGGTAGGACTCTAAAAATCACTTTAAAAAGTGGACTCCTGTTGCTTTTGACTGCATAAAAGAGATATAAGCCACACAGTGAGCCATAGAGCACTGAACAGATTTGAATGGAAGGATACATTGTGAAAATTGACTGAAAGAACTCGCTGAAACTGGACAAGATCCGCCCTATAGCTGAAAGAGGGTGTGGCTCAAATTAAAATTACAAAATCCATTAAAATTAAATTAATGGTCAAAATGAATTTAACAACAATTAAAAGAAAACAAAAGGGCTTATATATAGTTTCAAAGAAAACAGAATTACTCTATCCCCGTACAAAAACAATTCAAGTCTCTAAATCACCATGGTGGAATTAAAGAGGAGCAACATAGCTGCGTAGCTCAATCCCATGCAAATGGTATCATAATGCTTGAAAGGAATGCGCCAGGTTCCAATAGCCCTCAGGACATCAGAAACATAAAGAAATACACTGCCAATAGTGCCCAAATAAAGCATTGGTATCTCCTTCCTTGAGAGAAGCGAAAATTGAATGGATACAAGAGTACTCAGTAAGACCAACTGTGCGAGGAGAAGGGGTACATACCAGGTTGGTATCCGGGACAATACATACAGGAATACGAGGACTGAGAGAAGCAAGAGGACACCAAGTACTGCATAATCGGCGTTAGCGTAGTCCTTGTAGAGTTGAAAACTTGAGCTAAACCCGTAAATGAAAATACCCAGTGCGACTATGTAGCTAATGTAACCATAACCAACGAGAGAGCCAAACTCAAGATACACCCAGCTCATGCAATAAAATACCATCCCGCCTCCTAGCGTGTAGACCCTTGGGAGAAAATCAGGGTTTTTAATGGAGAGTACTTTGCCGTCAGCGAGACGGGAGGCAGCAGCACCAAAGAGTATTCCGAAAGGGAGGGCTTTGAAAATGACACGATTTGCCTTGTCTGGACTCAAACGCATCTTGAAAAGAAAGAGCCCGCACACCGAGACGTATAGAAGAGAGAAGAGCCACGGAGAGGCCGTGAATTGAGGAGGAGATACGAAACTCATGAGCATTCCCATAAGACCAGGACGTCTTTGACATTGTCCAGACATGTTGGAAAATGAAAGTAGGTGTGGTTCTGTAGGCGTGACATATCCTAACCACACCTTCTTTAATTGTTCAAAATGGCGGCTAGGGCAAATGCTGATATTTCTGAAATCCTGACGTGCTCTGTCTGTTTTGATGATTATAAAGATCCAAGGACTATATCTTGTGGTCACTCCTTTTGTTTACGTTGCCTAGAGTCTATATCTGATGGAAAGATGGTCTTTGAATGTCCTGTCTGCAGGACAGAGACTGCTGTTCCTGAAGGCGGAGTGTCTCAATATATCATTACCTTTGCCTTGAAGTCACTAAAAGATGCTGTAGAGAGGACAGAAGGGGAGGAAGAGTATCATTTCTACTGTGAGAAGTGCCGCGAGCTTCTCACATATCAAACGGCTGCTACAACTCATCAAGGTCACAAATATCACAATATTCAAGTCTCGTACGCTAATCATTTAGAAGCACTCAAAAAATCTCTCATTTGTCTAAGGGCGAGAACAGAAGACGTGGCGGCTGATAGGGAAGTCTTGCTTCAAGTGGAGAGTGACATTCTCAAGCAGAAAGAACAAATAAGAGAAGAGATAGTTACAGTATCGGATGAAATTATTAATGCAGTTCGAAAAGCAACGCAGCAAAAATTAGCCCAACTTGACAAAATATTTGACAAAAAAATGGAGACAGCAACGCAGCAGCGACAAGAATCTGATGAAATGTTAAAGACTTTTGTTGGCATCCAAGAAGAAGTGGAACACAAGCTTAGCACCAGTTCGTGCTGTCAGCTTTTGTCAAAGAAGAAAGAAATCTCAGAGCAGATCCATTCCGCCATGACAAAAGAAAAGAATTTTAAACCTAAAGAAAAGGCAAACGGGAAGTTTGTTAGGAATTCTTCCTTGGTCAGTTGTTCTCAAAATATTGGCTATCTTTTCCCCAAGAGTAGTCCTAGATACTCTGTAAAACATGACCCCGTCATTATGGCTGGTCGGCCTTCTACTTTTACAGTCTCCTTTAGTCCTTTGTATCCTCCATATGATTCATCTCCTCCCATAAAATGTACTTTGACCTCTTGCGATACTAGAAATGCCACTACCACTGTTTGTGACGTTGGAAAGGTACAAGGTTTCTCTCATTCTTTTGAGGTGGTTCCTATCGATCGCGGGGAACAACTGCTAACTATTACAACTGATGACATGTTGACAGCCCAAAAGCACGATACTTTTATTGCTCATCCTTCCCCTCATATGAGAGGCAGACCTCTAAAAGAAATAAAGAATCTTAAGAAACCAATTGGAATAGCAATTACGAAAAATGGAGGCTTGATTGTTGTTAACCAAGGCTCAAACAGCATTGAGTTCATTAATGATACTGGCAGAGTTTCAAGAGATATTAAATTTACGGATCCTCATGGCATTGCTCTTACTGATGATGAAGCTTATTTCGTTGTTACTGATAAGCATTCTGTAAGGCTGATAAAGAAGCAGAGTGGAAATGTGATTGCAATTGCAGGTGGAGAAAAGAAAGGATATAAGCGTAATCTGTTCAATAATCCGACTGGTGTTGCTATAAACCCAATGACCAAGCAGATATATGTAGCAGACACTGATAATCACAGGATTGTAGTCTTAAATGAAATGGCTCTAACAAGAGTCACTGAGTTTGGAAAGAAAGGCTCTTCCTCGGGTACTTTTGATGAACCCATGGGTATGGAATTCAACACAGATAAATTATACATAGTGAATAATGGCTCCAGTTGTATTGATGTCTACTCTGCCATTGATCATAATCCTCTTTTTAGAATAGGAGCTTCTCCTAGCCCTCTTAGTTATGAAGGTCTGAGTTGCCCTTCTTCCCTCACCATTGATGCTTTTGGCTACATGTATATCACTGAAGTGACAGCACCTATATTTAGCTTCAAGAGTAATGCAATCAGTCGCATATCTATCTACAAAACTGATGGTCAGTTTGTGAGGAGCTTTGGTGGGAAAGGAAGAACTGAAGAAAGCTTTTACGATCCAAGTGGGATTGCCATTGACCGCAGAGATGGAACCCTTTATGTGTGTGATACTGATAATAATAGAATTGTACTTTTATAAGCATTGGTGTATTATACAGTCAGGAGCACTCGTTTTTAGTTAACTTAATTTTTCATTTTTTTTAGTTTCAAGACATCTTGGAAAATTAAAGTAGGTGTGGTTTGGCATATTCTAACCACACCTTCTTGAATGTTCAAAATGGCGGCTAGGGCCAATGCTGATATTTCTGAGCTGCTGACATGCTCTGTCTGTTTTGATGATTATAAAGATCCAAGGACCATACCTTGTGGTCACTCCTTTTGTCTACATTGCCTAGAGTCTATATCTGATGGAAAAATGGTCTTTGAATGTCCTGTTTGCAGAGCAGAGACTGCTGTTCCAGAAGGTGGAGCTTCTCAATATGTCATTGCCTTTGTCTTAAAGTCACTAAAAGATGCCGTAGAGAGGACAGAAGGGGAAGAAGATTATCATTTCTACTGTGAGAAGTGCCACGAGCTTCTCACATATCAAATGGCTGCTACAACTCATCAAGGTCACAAATATCACAATATTCAAGTCTCGTACGCTAATCATTTAGAAGCACTCAAAAAATCTCTCATTCGTCTAAGGGTGAGAACAGAAGACATGGCGGCTGATAGGGAAGTCTTGCTTCAAGTAGAGAGTGACATTCTCAAGCAGAAGGAACAAATAAGAGAAGAGATAGTTATAGTATCGGACGAAATTATTGATGCAATTCGAAAAGCAACGCAGCAAAAATTAGTCCAACTCGATGAAATATTTGACAAAAAAATGGAAATAGCAATGCAGCAGCGACAAGAATCTGACGAAATGTTAAAGACTTTCGTTGGGATCCAAGAAGAAGTGGAACACAAGCTTAGCACCAGTTCGTGCTGTCAACTTTTGTCAAAGAAGACAGAAATCTTAAAGCAGATCCATTCAGCTACATGCATGATGAAAAAAAAGGATTTTAAACCTAAAGAAAAGGCAAACGTGAAATTTGTTAGAAATTCTTCCTTAGTCAGTAGTTCTCAAAATATTGGTTATCTTTTCCCCAAGAGTAGTCCTAGTTACTCTGTGGGACATGACCCCCTTGTTATGGCTGGTCTGCCTTCTACTTTTACAGTCTTTTTTAATCCTTCTCATCCTCCATATGATTCAACTCCTTCCATACAATGTACTTTGACCTCTTGTGATACTGGAAATACCACTACCACTGTTTGTGACTTTGGAAAAGTACAAGGTTTCTCTCATTCTTTTGAGATGGTTCCTGTCGATCGCGGGGAACAACTGCTAACCATTACAACTGATGACATGTTGACAGCCCAAGAACCCATTACTTTTATTGCACATCCTTCCCCTTATATGAGAGGCAGACCTCTAAAAGAAATAAAGAGTCTTAAGAAACCAATTGGAATAGCAATCACGAAAAATAACACCTTGATCGTCGTTAACCAAGGCTCAAACAGCATTGAATTTATTGATGACTCTGGCAGAGTTTCATGTGATATTAAATTCACAGATCCTCATGGCATTGCTCTTACTGATGATGAAGCTTATTTCATTGTTACTGATAAGCATTCTGTTAGACTAATAGAAACACTGAGTGGTAATGTGATTGAAACTGCAGGTGGAGAAAAGAAAGGATATAAGCGTAATCTGTTCAGTAATCCAACTGGAGTTGCTATAAACCCAATGACCAAGCAGATATATGTAGCAGACACTGATAATCACAGGATTGTAGTCTTAAGTGAAATGACTCTGACAAGAGTCACTGAGTTTGGAAAGAAAGGCTCTTCCTTGGGTACTTTTGATGAACCCATGGGTATGGAATTCAACTCAGATAAATTATACATAGTGAATAATGGCTCCAGTTGTATTGATGTCTACTCTGCCATTGATCATAAACCTCTTTCTAGAATAGGAGCTTCTCCTACCCGTCTTAGTTATGAAGGCCTGAGTCGCCCTTCTTCTCTCACCATTGATACTTTTGGCTACATTTATATCACTGAAGTAACAGCACCTATATTTAGCGTCAAGAGTTCTGCAATCAATCGCATATCTATTTACAAGACTGATGGTCAGTTTGTGAGGAGCTTTGGTGGGAAAGGAAGAACTGAAGAAAGCTTTTACGATCCAAGTGGGATTGCCATTGACCGCAGAGATGGAACCCTTTATGTGTGTGATACTGATAATAATAGAATTGTACTTTTATAAGCACCGGTGTATTATATACTCGTTTTTAGTTTGCCTCTGTTTATTAAACATTTGATTTTTTACAATAATAATTTTTTGTTCCCAGCAAAAAAATAAATTAATAAAAATCACTCCGGGGTGGAGCTAGTTTATTAATAGAAGGCGTGGTATCATAAAAATGGCCTCCTTTTCATACATTACTTGTTCTTTTCTTTCCTCTCTTGTCATCCTCTCATAATGGCTAGACACAGGAATGTAAGGAGGCTAGACTTTGATGAAGGTATTTGCTTACTTCTAAGCATAATCTTATAATGTTTTTCTTTCTAGAGAGAGATTTCGGTGACATTTATGGCCGCTCTTTCGAGGATGAGGTTGCAATATCACCCGCTACTGCTTGTAAGTTAGTGTATGTGATGTATAGAAACACTTGATATCATGTCTCTCTTTCTCTAGCTCAGTTTATGTATCCACACGGTAATACTGGGATCGCTCTAAGCAGTTATATGAAGCCACACCCACTTGAGACGCAGTCAGAAAAGTTGCCATCATCAGCTGGAGCAAGTGGAGCACCTACTCAACCAAATCAACCCTCTCAACCGGCACTGCCCTCTCAATATCTAAGAAGTGAACCTTCAATAAAGAAGCCGGATAAAGGTAAATGTTAAATTATTATTGTTGTTAAAATTTATTAAAATATCTTTATTTGTATGTTTACCTCATCACTATTTGCGTGTTTTATTTCATCATAACTATATTTGTTTCTCTTCTTCTTGGTAAGGTAAGACTCTAATGTATTATTTATACCTAATTGTACTGTTGCTTCAATGGCGTCTGCTAAAAGTGGGAGTGATTTCATATCACTTGCAAAATCACGTGAAAATCCGACAAAAATATCTACTTGTCCTCCTAGTTTAGGAGAATTGATGAAGACACCATCTTCTGGGCCTCCTAGTTTAGGAGAATTAATGAAGACACCATCTACTGGGCCTCCTAGTTTAGGAGAATTAATGAAGACACCATCTACTGGGCCTCCTAGCTTAGGAGAATTAATGAAGACACCATCTTCTGGGCCTCCTAGTTTAGGAGAATTAATGAAGACATCATCTTCTGGGCCTACTAGTTTAGGAGAATTAATGAAGACATCATCTTCTGGGCCTACTAGTTTAGGAGAATTAATGAAGACATCATCTTCTGGGCCTCCTAGCTTAGGAGAATTAATGAAGACATCATCTGCTGGGCCTCCTAGCTTAGGAGAATTAATGAAGACATCATCTTCTGGGCCTCCTAGTTTAGGAGAATTAATGAAGACATCATCTTCTGGGCCTCCTAGTTTAGGAGAATTAATGAAGACATCATCTGCTGGGCCTCCTAGTTTAGGAGAATTAATGAAGACATCATCTGCTGGACCTCCTAGTTTAGGAGAATTAATGAAGACATCATCTACTGGACCTCCTAGTTTAGGAGAATTAATGAAGACACCATCTACTGGGCCTCCTAGTTTAGGAGAATTAATGAAGACATCATCTACTGGGCCTCCTAGTTTAGGAGAATTAATGAAGACATCATCTACTGGACCTCCTAGTTTAGGAGAATTAATGAAGACATCATCTTCTGGGCCTACTAGTTTAGGAGAATTAATGAAAACATCATCTGCTGGGCCTCCTAGTTTAGGAGAATTAATGAAGACATCATCTTCTGGGCCTCCTAGTTTAGGAGAATTAATGAAGACACCATCTACTGGGCCTCCTAGTTTAGGAGAATTGGTAAAGGAAAATATTGGTTTAGCTAAGGAACGAGATAAAGGGCAAGGATTTGTCGACTTGTCAGTTTTATTACGTAAAGCTCCTCAAAGTGATACCAAAAAATCTGCACTTGAATCATCTCATCTTTCTTCTCCTTCTCTTTCACTTGTCAATCCTCCAAGTGCTAAACCAATGTCAGGAGTGGGTGTGGTCATCTGTCGTCAAGGCAACAGATCGTCATTGCAGGGAATCACGGATAAAGTTATGTCAAGATTAAAAGAACAGTATTTTTTAGAGCCAAGGTTTAATTTCAGTACTCCATCCCCGGATGAACTAATCCTAACTGAACAGTCTAAAATATTTCACAAGTAGCTTTATAAGAATTTAGCAGTTATAATTTACATGTAGTGTTTTTTAATGCTTAATTTTTCACTTTATTTTATACAATAAATGAAAAAGTTATACATACTCCACATTTAACAACCTGTATTAGGCTTACATTTACTTATACAGTGTATGTGCGTGTTTAATGTGTGATTGTCTTTCATAGCAACTGCTCCAGTTGAGACTGTTACTATCAAGCAATCTCAATCCAATACAAAGATGGGCTTTATTACTCATCATCGCAGCAATATAGAGTTAGTCTATTTTTCCTTTCTTTCATATATCTCTCTCTCTCTCTCTTTAGCTCCAGTCCTGCTAGATCTCCCTCACCATCTGTTCTTCCTGGGCGGAGCACACCAACAACCACACCCATTAGGCAACCTCAGCTGACTCGGAGTTCATTAAAAGGAAAGCAATTACATTTAGTATGTGATTGTTGGCTTGACCTCCTGTTATTGTTGTTGTTATTGTTGTTGTTGTGACTTAGATTGATGTTTTAAGTGAGTATAAGAAGAGACAGGAATCAGAGAAACCGACCATCAATCTTGTAGTAATAGGTATCTACCTCCCTCTATCTCTTTGCTACCTTCTCTCTCTCTCTCTCTCTCTCCCTCTCTCTCCCTCCCTCTCTCCCTCCCTCTCCCTCCCTCCCTCTCCTCCCTCTCCCTCCCTCCCTCTCTCCCTCCCTCTCTCCCTCCCTCTCTCCCTCCCTCTCTCCCTCCCTCTCTCCCTCCCTCCCTCTCTCTCCCTCCCTCTCCCTCCCTCTCTCTCTCTCCCTCCCTCTCTCTCTCTCCCTCCCTCTCTCTCTCTCCCTCCCTCTCTCTCTCTCCCTCCCTCTCTTTCTTCTTTAGGTCATGTTGATGCTGGTAAGAGCACACTGATGGGTCACCTTCTCTTCCTGTTAGGTCACGTCTCCAAACGGACCATGCACAAGTACAATACTTCCCAGTCTAATCCTATACTACCTCTGATATTGACAGTAATACTATTGCTTGTTATTCTTATCTTATTAAAGGTATGAGACAGACTCGCAGAAACTTGGTAAGGCATCGTTTCTTTACGCATGGATACTGGATGAAACCGGAGAGGAGCGGAACAGGTGAATGACATATACATGTACATGCACATGTATATGTACATGTACACATGTAGCATTTCTTTTTTGTACACCATTTCTAATCAGACTTATACATACTTTATCTCTTTTTCTCTACTTTTTCTCGCTCTCAGAGGCATTACAATGGATATTGCCCAGCAGCAGTTTGAGACGGAGCATCTCAAGATTCATTTGTTGGATGCTCCTGGACACAGGGACTTTATACCAAACATGATCACTGGAGCAGCTCAGGTTATACTTCTGATACATATTAATGGCCTTATGCCATGTAGAAAGTTTGAGCTGATTCCAACTTACGTTTTTTTGAGTTATAAGCATTTTAAGAAATAGGCCAATTTTGGAGAAAATACCCTGTGCTATAGCCCATGGTTTTTTCCAAAAAATGGCTCCGAAATCACCCCCAATTTTTATTGCATTTTCTGATACATATTGATGCCCTTATGCTATATAGAAAGTTTGAGCTGATTTCGACTTAAATTTTTCGAGTTATGAACATTTTAAAAAATAGGCCAATTTCGGAAAAATACCCAAGGCTATAGCCCATGGTTTTTTTTCAAAAAATGGCTCCGAAATGACCCCCAATTTTTATTGCATTTTCTGATACATTATTGATGCCCTTATGCTATGTAGAAAGTTTGAGCTGATTCTGACTTAAAATTTTTATGTTATGGCCATTTTAAGAAAATGCCAAAATTTTGAAAAATACCCAAGGCTATATAGCCCATGGTTTTTTCCAAAAAATGGCTCTGAAATCACCCCCAATTTTTATTACATTTTCTGATACATATTGATGTCCTTATGCTATATAGAAAGTTTGAGCTGATTTCGACTTAAATTTTTTGAGTTATGAACATTTTTAAAAATAGGCCAATTTCGGAAAAATACCCAACGCTATAGCCCATGGTTTTTTCCAAAAAATGGCTCCGAAATCACCTCCAATTTTTATTACATTTTCTGATACATATTGATGCCCTAATGCTATATAGAAAGTTTGAGCTGATTCAGACTTAAATTTTTTGAGTTATGGTCATTTTAAATCACATTTCAAATGGATTATACACGAGTACATTTGCCCTATATGTTCTCTCATAGGCTGATGTTGCTGTTCTTGTTGTTGATGCTACAATCGGCTCATTTGAGTCAGGCTTTGAATCAGGTGGACAGACAAGAGAACACGCTTTACTTGTTCGCTCACTCGGCGTAACGCAACTGGTAGTCGCCATCAATAAGATGGACACGGTGAGTTTTTGAATTTTAACTCATAAATTATATCAATTATATTATAATTTATTATTATTATTATTAATTTATGTAATATTTAGGTCAGTTGGTCAAGGGAGAGATTTGATGAGATAGTGACGAAATTGAAATCATTTTTAAAACAAGGAGGATACAAGGTTACAATGAAACAAGCTCTTAATTCCTTTCATTAGTCTGTATTGGCTACATATAGGAAGGTGACATTACCTACGTACCATGCAGTGGCATGACTGGAGATAATTTGACATCAACGCTAACTGATTCGTGGTACAAGGGACCTTCACTAGCTCAATCTATTGGTTTGTTATAATTATGAATAATATTATTATTATTTTATTATTATTTCTTTTGTAGATAGGTTTAGGCCTCCTCCAAGACCAGTTGAGAAGCCTTTCAGATGTTGCATAGCCGATATATTTAAAGGTAGCATGATACATTATTTTTAATTTTTGGTACTACATAAATTTTGTGGTTTTTAACTCTCAGTAATTGCGTGCTAATGGATCACTATTATTAATTATTATTAGGTCAAGGGGCGGGTATTTGTGTAGCTGGTAAGATTGAATCAGGTTATGTCCAGTCTGGAGAGACTGTACTAGTGGTACCTGCAAATGAACTGACTTCAGTCAAGAGTAAGAGAGAGAGAGAGGGGGGGGGAAGAGAAGGAGAGAGAGCAAGAGAAAAGAAAAGATGAAGAGAGAAAGAGAGAGAGAGCAAGGAAGGAGGTCATTGTTTTTTATGATAAAGAAGGTGTGTCTAAGTTAGTTTTATTTCTATTACTATGAAGCTATATTCGGTGGAGATGATATCAGTGCTTGGGCTGTAGCTGGAGATCAAGTTGTGTTGACACTGATTGGAATCGACCAAACCAAGCTAGCGTATGTTTAGCATACAAACAAATACATGTAATCTTATTTATTTATTTATTTATTTATTCGTTTACTTATTTATTTATTCGTTTATTTATTTATTTATTCTTTATTTTCTCTCTCAGTTTGGGTAGTGTCCTGTGCTCTCCTGAAGCTCCTGTTAGCATCACTAGTTTAGTGAGGGCAAGGATCATCATCTTTAATATCGAGCTACCAATCACAGCTGGCTATCCAGTTAGCTCTCATTATATGCTCTATCCCTATACTTTCTCCCTCCTTTCTCTCCAGGTTATATTCCATTACCAGTCAGTGAGTGAGCCAGCTGTCATTAAGAAGCTTTTGAGTCAAGTAAGCAAGACATCAGGCGACGTAATAAGAAAGAAACCAAGGTTAGAATTGAAAGCACCTGAAGTATAAGAATCAGTTTAAGAGCTTTTCTGCTTCAACCATTTGTATTTATATGTGCACGTACAATGTAGATTCTTTTTTTGTTATTTTTTAAATTTTTTAGGTGTCTTACTAAGAATAGTTCTGCTATAGTTGAGATAGAGATCAGTCGTCCTCTCAGTTTGGAGCTCTACAGTGATTGCAAGGACCTTGGGAGGTTCATGCTCCGTTATGCTGGTAACACTGTAGCAGCTGGACTTATAATCAAAGTAATTAACCTATTATTACACAGTGTAAATTCCCTGTACTATAGCCCATGGTTTTTTCCAAGAATGGCTCAATTTTTATTACATTTTTGATGCATATTGATGTCCTTATGCCATGTAGAAAGTTTGAGCTGATTCCAACTTCAATTTTTTGAGTTATCACTTATTTAAAAATGGGTACTATTATTGAAAAAGGCAAAGCCTTTTGGGTTTTTTCAAAAAATGGCTCTAAAATCACCCTCAGTATTTATTGCATTTTAAAATACATATTGATACCCTGTGTGTGCACTTTTACCAATCAATAAAATAATTTTGCTTTTGTAGATATTATGATCAACCACGACCTTCACATCATATTTATTAAAGGACTGGTTCAATTAATAATGATTCCATCATTTATAATATGCTCATCTCCTCTCTCTCTCTCTCTATTTCTACAATTTTTGTTAATCAAAATTTATAAAATAAATTTTTGTCAATTACCTGCTAGTGTAGTTGTATGAACAAGCTAACCTCAATCTACACCTAGAGGGTGTAAATTAGCTGCAAACAAATCTACAAAAATTGTAACATAATTTATTTTTACAATTATTTCTATTTTTGGGTGGAGCCGTCACGCTTATAGGTAGCTATTGACTCAAATTCTAAAACTAAACTTTTTAAAAATTAATAATAATAGACATTATTATTAATTCTACAGAACTAAAAGTTAAAAACAAATAAACATGAGAAACAGAAAACGACAAAAAAAAAGAATAAAATTATTAGATGTAAAGTGAATATTGACGACGAAAATAATGAAAAATAATTATTATTGTAACAAAACTAGTTAAAAGTTAAGTATCCCAAAAATATTCCAATAATATCCTAATGATAATATGCTACGTCACTTGTGTGATCCCTGGCTACTACTGGGAAGAGCGATGAAAATGGACACACTTCCACTCATCATTGAGCTTCTTCCAGACACGAGTCTCATTTGAGACTTGACTGTACGGAGTACCTTGACTATATAAAAAAATAAAATAGGTATTATATTAATAAGACAGATATTTATTTATGTCTATCTCTAATAGTTTTAAAATAATATATATAGTCATCTAGGATACTTTGTTAGTATATCTCAGGATACTAAGCGCTATAGCAGCTAAGCTAAATATCCTGAGATAACCAGAAGTATACTGTTCTCGACTTCAAACAATACGGACTAATCTCGTTAGCCGCATATCAAAGGCTTTAGTGCATTCACTACAATAACATTTGGCAAAGGGCGAGTGTATCAAACTACTCCAAGAATGCAATAAATGATTACATACTTGAGCAAGTCTAAATTACTAAGTTATCAACTCACTTGTCTATAGATTGTGTTAAGCGAGTGTATGCTATGCAAGCAACACCTTCGGAAAGCATGTGAACCTTTGGCTTCAGGATATTGTTCTGTGTGGGCGTGTTGGCCTTCACTGTAAAGAATAGGAGAGTATTACACACAGGTACTTAGGTAGTAGTACACATAATAATAATTATAAAAACTGTTGGAGGGAGGGATTTTAAATATGTGACAGCAGCTGGAAGTGTTTCTAGGGCAGATATTGGAGTATTTTTTGTATTGCGAATGAATCGTAGCATGTACATGTACATGTACATGTACATGTACATGAATGTATTGCAATAATTATATTACTTACTGTTGTCAAAATAAAATTTGTGAAAGTCAAGGCCAGTCACCATCTGTGAACAAGCTTCAGGTTCAAAACTTGTCATTCCTTCACTGCACCTTTTACTAAAGGGAGAGAGAGGGAGGGGGAGGGAACATGAAGATGAGGAATGACACTCTTGTTTTACCTGTAGTCAGCAAAGTCTTTCTGCCCAATGCTGTTCAAGAGGAGCTGGGTAATATCTATGATCTCCTTCTCCTCAGGTGAATATTGGCCTAAAGAGAGAGGGGGGAGAGAGAGAGAGAAAGAGAGAGAGAGGAAAAGAAAGCACGAGGAAGACAAAAGGAAACAATTAATGGAGAGAAGAAATGAGGATGAGTAATACTAGTCACAAATACATGTTCAACATTGCCTACCTCCATTGCTATCAGGGTTGCTAGGCAACAGCGTAGCATTAGAAGTAGGAGTGGCACAAGTGTCTGCCTCCTCAATTAGTGTAAGGTTTTCAGGATTGGTGGGCGGGGACGCAAGATTAGAGGAACTGGTGGATGGGCTTCCAGTAGGTCTTACTACAGAGTAATATTGTAATACATTAGATTGGGCACTGTATGGTGATTACTGAATGCTGATGATCTTCTGGAGATTATCATTGCAGTGTGCATGGCTGCCTTGAGTTTCCTTCGAGCGTTAAACCTCTTGAGACCAGCAATGGTCTCCTGCCTGTGCATCATGGAAGCAACCTTGTCACGATTCTAGAGAGAGAGAGAGAGGGGGGAGAAAGAGGGGGGAGAGAGAGGGGGGAGAGAGAGGGAGAGAGAGAGAGGGAGAGAGAGAGGGAGGGGGAGAGGGAGAGAGAGAGGGAGAGAGAGAGGGAGAGAGAGAGGGAGGGGGAGAGAGAGAAGGAGGGGGAGAGAGAGGGGAGGCATCAGTACAACAGGTTCAACACAAATGCATGTATAAGTACATGTATTGCATATGCAAAACAAATTTAGAATTAGTAGTACAGTACATGTACATGTAATATACATGTACATGTACATGTAACAGTGAAATGTATACATGTAGAATAGAGAGTGTCAATTACTTTAATCCAAGGGTGTGACAGTGCTTGCTCAGCAGTGATGCGCTTATCAGGATCCATAGTTAACATGCCATCAATCAGCTTCTTAACCTCGTCAGTTACCGAATCCCATTCAGGACTCAGATACTACAAAAACATTCATTAATAATTTATTAATAATAATGGGTGTGGTAGAGACAGGTGGAGCATGCTCCCTCTTCTCCATTGTAAACAAAGTGAATTTGTAGAATGTAAATATTATTGCTCAATAGAAGTACTAGACAATTGTTGTTCCACTTCCATTTCCTGATTTAATTTATTTACCATATAAGGGCAACTGTGTCATCCAGCATCAGCTGAAGCTACACCTTTGTTCTTTCTTTTCTCTCCCCCTACTCTTAATATCTTGTCTTTATCACTCTCCCCCTCTCTCTTTTCCCCTCCCTCCCTCCCTCTCCCCCCCCCCTACCTCATATCTTCCTTGCTTTATTTGCTCAAACATCTTAGACTGGTCGTCGTCCCAGAAAGGAGGATACCCAACCAAGAGGATGTACAGGACAACGCCGCAAGCCCACAGATCCACAGCTTTATCGTAAGGTTCCTTACGTAGAACCTCAGGAGAGAGATACCCAGGGGTACCAGCAAACCCTGAAAGAAAAATTTAATAATACAGGCTGCTCCATAAAAAAGTATCATTATACCAAATACTTGGGTGTGATACATAAAGTACTATCAATAGTTTAATGCTAGTAGTAGGCTCATGAACTTGTGCTCAAATTTTTTGCTAATATTTCCTTCAAATGATTTATAATGTAATGGCTTCTAGTGTGTACACACCTATATTATGAACTTGATACATTGCATGCTCAGTAAATTTCATTAAGAGACATGAAAGTAATACTATAGCAGCAGTCATACAATTTTTAACTTAATACTAGGAATATGACATACATATACATGTACATATACACTACCTCCCTAACATTTAAGAGGCTGCTCACGTTGCTCACGTTAACACTTAGGCAACAACTGCTATTCTACCAAGTTTGAATCGACCAACCAGATTGCTTTATTACACACATGACCAGTCAAAAAAATTTCTGACCCTCTCCGGAAAATGCTAGCCTCTTTTAACAAGTTTGGGGTTTTAGATAAGTGGTCTTTCGCGGAACGCTGTCAATGTTCATTATTAGCGGAACGCTATCAATGCTCATTATTCTATCAACATGTGGCTTTGTTAGGTAAGTACTCCCTGGAGAACGCTATCAATCCTCATCACTAGTTATCAGCAGTGGTTTCTTTAGGTAAGTTGTCCTTTGCGGAACGTGAAGTAGATTCAACATCCTCCAGCTGCTAACTGCTTACAATAGTACAGGACAGAAGTAAACACTTATCCGTTGTTGTTGTAAGAACAAGTCTGTAAGAACACAGACACTCCCTCTCCCTTTATTGCTAGTGCATATAAACGTTAACAGGAGCATGTACACACGAGCATATTTGCATATCAACATTGTATATTGCTTATAGTCAAGAGTCAATGTACATGTATAATATTATAAGAAATTCTCCCCCCCCCTTTGTTTTGACCCTCTCCCACTTCTCTCTCTCCCTCGTCAGGACTTTTAGAAAGCCAATAGGTTCGTGTTATGTCAAATATTTAAAGAAACTCAACTCACCATAATAATGTTTCTTCTTTTCAGTCTCAACGGCTAATCCAAAGTCTGCCAGTTTAACCGAGGCGCCTGGTTTCTTTGAAGACAATAGCAAGTTCTCAGGCTATAAAATAAAAGAGAATATAATACATTGTAATTGAATCTAGCCCTTTACATGTACTTCATTCTCTCTCTCCCTCCCTCCCTTCCTCCTCTCTCTCTCTCTCCCTCATTCTCTCTCCCTCTCTCCCTCACTCTCTCTCCCTCCCTCCCTCTCTCCCTCCCTCCCTCTCTCTCTCTCCCTCACTCTCTCTTACCTTTATATCCCTGTGAATGATCCCCATTTTGTGGCAGTAGCTAACGCTGTCAAGGATTTGCTGGATGCAAGAGCTAGCATCTTTCTCAGAGTAAAACTCCCTGGCAACAATATCGTCAAATAACTCCCCGCCAGTAATCCTAAACAAAGAGGAGGAGGAAAGAGAAAAAAATTATAAGTGTGATCGCAACAATGACGTATTGTCAATTTGTAATGGGGTGCATTAATATTTTTCATAGTAGAAGCATTCAACGAGCCAAACAATCTCTGCAGCCATCCAAACAACACGACATTATAACAAGTACATGTAAATAAAATAAAAAATGTACACATGTATTGCACATTCAACATGGAATTGCATTATTTTCATACTAGAAGTATCATGGCTTCATGTACATGCACACAATGTTATATTAATAATACAAGCTGGATGGCTACATGTAATGTACATGTAATTCTAAAGAAAACAACAACATAATTTCAAAATATGCGGAGCAGCTGCTCTTCAAAAAAGAAATAACCATTATTATTATCATTATTATTATTATCATTGTTGTTGTTAATTTTGTTACTGTTACTATTATTATTGGATGATTGATTGGTACAGATTACTACTCACAAGTCAAATATCATGTATCGCACATGTCCTTCTTGAAAAACGTTGTGAAGCCGTACTATGAATGGAAAGAGAAAGAGAGAGAGGGGAGTGAAGTGAGAAGATACAATCGGTCCATTATTATTACCAATGTTGTTATGCTGAAGCATCCTACATATCTTGACTTCTCTTTCGAGCTTTTGAAGATCTACAAGAGAGAAAAAGAAGAGAGAGAGATAGGGATGAGTGGCAACATTACTAAAGGAAGCTATACTTTACTTTTCCTTGCAACAAAAACAAATCGGCACAAGGTCTATACAACAACTACACTAAGTATGATCATTAAATGCCAGAAAAGCATTTCCTTGATCAAGTCAATCTGAATGCATTTGAACATTCATCCCCCACAACATGTAGTACATGAATGACAGTCAAAACACACACACACACATATATTAGAATAACTTTGATAGCAAAGAATGCAACAAAGGCTCAGGACTTTGATTAGTACCAAGACAGTTGCAGTGGAAAGCCTTGCAGGCAGGGATTCATTACCTCTAGCACTGAGCCTCTTGGTGTTTATGATCTTAGCAGCATAGTCGACACCACTAGAAGTGTGTACGACCTTCCTAACGATGCTAAATGCTCCCCTATAAGTGAAGAGAGAAGAGGGAATAGGTTAACGGTGGCCCTAAATCAAAGGACAACTTTAACTTACTTTCCAAGGTCCTCCTTGACTTCAAATTGCTCCGAGAAAGCTTTGTCTTCTTTAATCCCAGTCATCGTCCTATCGGTGATTGGAGAAACAGTCGCCAGCTAGTCCTTCTTTTCTTCTTTTGGGTCCTCGTTCCAGTCACTCTCTCCTCAGCTCTCCAACAGGCTGGAGGGGAAGGTACTCGAGGATTTATTTGCGTACGTCACGTGATCCAGCTGACCTTCGCCCACGCATAACGAAGTCTTACTTTTTTAGGCGTGGGCGGGCTCGTGGCCACCTCGAAAAATGTTTACTCCTCTCAGTTTACTCAAATAACTCAACAGTTAATTATAGTTTATTAATCATACACAAGCAACAGTAGATGCACTATAGCCATGCAACATTTTTAAAAAGTATCAAATTAAGTTAGTGTCCCAATATTCTATTAAATAACATGAATAATATCACAGATCACCGAGATCAGTCAATGTTAGCTGCATAAGAATTTTGAAATTTGATTTTTAAATCATGACGAGATCACGTGATTGCTGTTTTGACTTTTGACTTTTAAAACCACGCCCACAAGTCAATTGCTAGCTGTTCCTTCACTTTGACGATTATTCTGCTCTTTCTTTCTCTGCTGCTCAGCCCACTAGTCACTCTAGAGTTTCGGGTCTAATGGCTTATCCTCCTCCCCCTGGTGGCGGCGGCTACCCGCCTCAGCAAGTGAGTCTCTCTTCATTCCTGCTCTGCAGACGAACGCCTGACGTATGAGCCTAGAGAGACAAATTAAAATTGTTCATATCCAGCCTAGCATCCTGTCTAGTCTCCATTAGTCCCACCTCATACGTGCTGTGTCTGCTTGCACGAGACTTTGTTTAGCTGTCTGGCTATTGCCTCTGCTGTGCTAGAAAGATACCTAGCTGGGCCGGCCATTTTTCACACAAACAGTGAAGAGTGCCAATTTACTAACATTTGGCAGGGCTAGCTCCCTTTATAGGGCTGCAGGTTTTAATTAATAGTCTTTCTGCACTTGCATGTAAAGTAATATTATAGAAGGAGGCCTCACATTATTTTAGTGCTAGAATAGTTTATTTTAACATCTTGCATTTGTTAAAAAAATGAAACCGCCCATCATTATGCATGTACATGTACATTGATTTCAAATCAAAATTAATGCCTAATATTTTGTTTATGGTCACTATTACCGGTATGTGAGTGCATTACTTTCAGTTTCCTACTCTCTTATACTTATGTAACTTATGTTTACCTAAGGCATAGGAAATGATACAATGTCCAATCATCATGCATGCATATAATTTATTATTTGTTATTTTTCATTTAAAGGGTTACCCACCCCCTGGTGGCTACCCCCCACCCCCTGGCGGCTACCCTCCTGCTCCTGGGGGATACCCTGCTCCCCCTGGTGGTGGTGGCTACCCGCCTCCTCCCGGTGGGTCCTATCCTGCTGCCCCTCCTGGCGGATACCCACCTTACTCAGGTATATCGCAATTTAAAGACCCTTTTTTTTCAATTATTATAACTACATGTAGGTGGCTATCCTTCTCAACCGCCTCAGCAAAACTATGGCGCACCCCCAGGAGGATACCCAGGCTATGGTCCACCTCCTGGTCAGCCTGGTTATGGAGCTCCACCTACTGGATATGCCCCTCCTCCTGCCGGATACGGACAGCAGCCTCCCCCCGGGGGATATGCTCCTCCTGGCGGGTATGGACAGCCCCCTCCCCCTGGGGGTGGGTATGGCCCTCCTCCTGGTGGATACGCTCCTCAGGGGGGCCCACCCCCTGGTCAGCAGCAACCTCCTCCAACACAGCCACCAGCAGGTATAGTAGTAGCAATATCACTCCAGTATGATAATACTGTATGTACTTGTATTGTACTCTAACACAATAGCTTATTTACATTATTTTTGAATTCCATTGTTGCCAGATACAATGTACTGTAGTATAGTTATTGGAACAGACACTTGTTCTATTTATAGTTTTATTCTAATTACAGCCAGCGTCATACATGTACTTATGATACTTTTCCCCTTATATGGACAACTCTAATTCAAATGCTTGTTTCTCTACATGTCACAGTATTAACAAGATATTATACTCATTATGTGCGCATGTACATTCTTTCATGTGTAAGTTTATTGTAAAATATGCCATTGTAAATATGCTATTCACATGTCAAGCAGATGTTACTTCATTTGTTTGTTTGTCCTCAAAACCAATTTATCAGCAGTCTCAGACAAGCATTAGCACTTATAAGCTTTCCATGAACATATAATGTATGTAATCAAGAATGGATAATTATACATTTTGGCACTAAAATTCTACATGTACATGTACATGAATTTAATTTCACTATTCATACATTACAATCTTTCCATTTCCTCCCTTTCCTCATGTAGCTCAGCCCCCAACTGCACAAATGGCAGCTATGTCAGTCAATGAGGTAATGTGACATGGTCTCTTCTATTGCATGTACTTTTTGTTCTGTTGAACAGGAGAAGGGGACCCCTACAGTGAGGCCGGCTCCAAACTTTGACTCTGAGAAAGATGCAGAGGTACTGCGTAAAGCAATGAAAGGAATGGGTAAGTGAAGCGTAGGCTAAAGTTTGTGGGACTCTAGCAACTTCAAGAGATGGCAAGATGCACTAGTATGAGCTTTTATGGCTACTCACTGAGGATCTTTAGTGCATTAACACATTTATTAGTGCTTAAACAGAAGTTTTAGAAAGTTATGGCATGTCGAAACCAAAGGCCATATTTCAATGGCGTCAGTACACTAAACTATTAAACGCAGTCCATAACAAACATCACAGTGCACTGTAAGAGGTTAAGAAGTAACCATAAAAGCAGATATTTAGTTATAAAGCTATCAGATATCGTCTGGAGAGTCCCACAAAGTATCTCCATTTAACTCCATTACGGGACCAATTCCCGGCAAACTAGGGGTGTTTCAACGTATAATACGCTCACGTGATCCTGTTTCTAATCCTGTTCCGTGTATTATATCTATGCTTTGTTATCTAATTATTAATGAACTACTGGCTGCATGAACACATCAAAAATGGATTCTTCAGTAGTTACATGTACATTGTGTGTTGAGGTAATAATGGTTTTAGACTTGCCTTGCCTTTGATATTACTTCAGCTGTTTTTTATGTGGTTCATGGCTTTTGGCCAAATTTTAGAGTAATTTTAAGTAGAAACTCTCTATACATGTAGGGATATTTGTATCAGAAAATGTACATGTACATGTACACATGATTTTAGAGCAACTTTTAAAATTTTATAAAAAATGTCATTTTGATTGGAATCTGCTGAGGCTTCCTACGCAACATAAGTACATGTACATGCATATGAAAAAATTATAAAAATGGCAAATTCTCTCCTTTTCATTTTTGACGAAATTTTGCTAAAAACCCTGTACTATAGTACAGGGACTTTTGCCCGATTTCAGAGCAACTTTAATAATTTGTAAAAAAATTTATTTAGATCGAAATGAGTTCAAACTTTCTACACAACATAAATACATGTATATGCATCAGTAAAAATTATAAAAATGAAGAATTCTATCTTTTTATTTTTGGTGAAATTCACCTGTACCATATATAGTTCGTTTTGTCAAATTTCAAGTAGTCTTAAAATTCAATTTTGATCAGAATCAGCTCAAATTTACAACACAACAAAAGAGCTAGCATATAATTATGTCACAGTTATGAATAAACTTTTTGCTGAATGGGAAATATCAGATGTACATGTACAATACTGTACATGTGCATGTACATGTACATTTCATACCACACACTCTCTCCCTCTTATCAATAGTAGTACAGTACATGTTTCAGCTATTGAATATGTACATGTACATATTGCTGACTAGGATTAATGATTACAGCATCATCTTTTGTTAGGAATTTACAGTTATTTTTATATTATCCATTTTAAAAGTGGCAGTCGGTTATCACCACAAACATACATGTACATGTACTATAGCATTTCTTGCGTGAGTAGCAATTATCGAGTTCCTGTTATCTCACTCTCCAACAGTGCACAATTAAAGTCAAATTAACTATTATTTTTTATACTTTTTTATTGTTACTGAACAGGAACTGATGAGAAGGCCATCATTAATGTCCTTGTTTCCAGGAGCAACGAACAGAGACAAGAAATAAAGAAAAAGTTCAAACTGATGTATGGAAAGGTCAGTATAACCAGAAACACTCCAATGCCCAATTCTTCCTTCCTGTTACTATGTGTACATGTACATGTACATGTACACGTATGAAATACATGTATGAAATACATGTAGGAAAAGTTACACACATACACATCAGTATTTTATATACACATGTACATGTAGACAAAATAGAAGACATGTACATGTACATGTACAATCCCTTCAGGGTAAATCCAATTTACATGTACATGTGTACATGTGCATNTCCATGTACCTTCAAGACTCTTGCAAGTACAGTGTACATTTACTTATGTACATGTACATGTAGTTCATGGTTTTTTGGTGTTTTAGGATCTGATCAAGGAGTTGAAGTCCGAGCTCTCTGGTAATTTTGAGGATTGCGTTATTGCGTTGATGGAGTCCAGGGTCAAGTATGACGTCAAGTGTCTCCGTGCCGCTATGAAAGGTCTTGGAACCGATGAGTCGGTCCTCATTGAAATACTCTGCACTAGAACCAACAAAGAAATCAACGATATTGTTCAGGAATATAAGAAGGGTCAGTATATTACTGCATACTCTTGTTCATAATTAAGGCCATTTGTACATGTTCTTGTATATTCTTGTGTACTTTTGTATATTCTTGTGTACTCTTGTATATTCTTGTATACTCTCTAGAGTACGGACGTAATCTTGAGAAGGATGTTGTGAGCGAGACCAGCGGACATTTTAAGCGTCTCCTTGTCTCAATGTGTCAAGTAAGTGAGAGAAGGAAAGAGGAGACTAATTGTATGACCATAATAGCCAAATGTAATTAAAGCTATCATTAATACGACAAAGAAACATTGACGTTATTTTTACATGTATATGTTCAACACCTTGTTTTTAATTACCACTCTGTACAACAATAAATTAGTCATACATCCTGTCTTGAATTATTATTTTTGTTACCCTCTCCTTTGTCCTCAGGGAGCCAGAGAAGAAACTGCTACTGTGGACATGGCTAGGGCCACTCGGGAGGCCAATGAGCTCTATCAGGCAGGAGAGAAGAAATGGGGAACTGACGAGTCAAAGTTTAATCAGATCCTAGCTCTCCGTAGCTTCCCACAGCTGAGGGCCACCTTCCAAGAGTATACTAAAGTACGTACATGTACATGTACAGTGTAATTATTGAGCTCTCTACATGTACATGTACATGTATTTCTCCCCATAGATATCACAAAGAGATATTCTTAATTCTATTGACCGTGAGATGTCTGGTGATTTGAAGGAAGGATTCAAGACAGTAGGTGAGTCAATCAAGTTGATCTACTGTGATAAAAAGCAACTGTGCACATAGTGTGATGAAAGCATTATGATTTAAAGACCCAATATTCAACTGGTTTTCCTATAATAATTGTATTTATTTTTTCTCCTCTCAGTTATGTGTGTTAGGAATAGGCCTGGATATTTTGCTGAGAAACTGTACAAGAGCATGAAAGGAGCCGGTACTGATGACAGCACACTGATACGTATTGTGGTAACACGCTCTGAAGTAAGCCGGAGAGAGAAATAAAGTAGAGGGTGCTTGATAATACAAGTGATAAAGAATATTATCTTTAAAAAGATTGCATTTTCACAGATTGAAGAATTATGCTTTTCGCATAATACTGTATTAAGTTAAAGTTTTCAGACTTAGTTGTTACCTATAGCTTGTAATAACTTAGTTGTATATTTTAGAATCCTCTAAAATTATAATTTTTGCAAAAAATTGACTCCTTATAATATTGCAGTAGTACAGGTCATTAGTTTAATTATTATGTCATTATTTTATTGATGGTTTGCATGGTTTTAGATTGATATGGTGGAGATAAAGAGAGAGTTCCTGAACAAGTATCACAAGACTCTGTCTAAGATGATTGAAGGAGACACCTCAGGAGATTACAAACAGGTTCTAATTGGAATAGTTGGACCAAACTAACTCACTAAGAAGATAATAATAATAATAATAATAATAATGTTGTTGTTATTATTATTATTATATTTATTATATTGCTGAAACTTTTCCTTTTGCTTTTTTATTGTTATTAGTTGAGTTTTAGTTGCTATATAATTATTAATATACAGTCTTCTTATGTATTTTAAAAGAAATAAATTTTTATTATGCATATCTTAGCGATATTACAGGATATTATAAATAACTAAAGAAATTATTTTATGATGCATAGCTGATTCTTGGATTTCTTATTTTGATTTTTTAAGTTGCTTCAAAATTATTTTGATGGAACACCCTGTACTGGGTACTTTATGTAGAAATGGGTCTACAATGACTAGGAGAGAATTCTTTATTTTAATGACACTTCCTGATACATTATACACGTACTCATGTTGTGTAGATGATTCTGATTACAACTGAATTGTTTACAAATTTTTTAATTTGCTCCAAAATTCGGCCAAAGTTCCTGTACTATATAGTACAGGGCATTTTCTCAAAAATGACTATGAGAAAAATCCCATATTTAATGAATTTTCTGGTAGACATAAAATAATGTACTTTATAATGTTATAATGTTACAGTCTAATAAGAATTAGTGTCATGCAGTGTCCCTGTGTAAACTGTTAACCACAAGAAGAGGACAAGAGAGGACAACCCACGATAGCCTTTTACAAATAACTGAATATAAAAGAAGGATAACCTGGCACATCCTACATTAATTTAACATTAAAAAAGGTACAAAATTTTTGGATGGGTTAACTTAACCCTGTCTTTAATTATTCTCTGTAACTTTGAATATAAAGTATAAACAATAGAAAACATCAAACAATTTTATTTTTGTTATCATTGTTATTACATTTATTGTTATCCTTATTTCTCTTCTTCTTTATTATTTAATTCGTTATTATTGTTATTGTATTTTTTGATAAATTTCCAGAATTTATTATTATATGCTGTTAATATTTGTTTTATTTTATTTAAAAATATTTGATGAGAATCAAATCTAATCAGTAAATTCACACATGTAAGCACTCAATCCACCACCCAACAGGTATTGACAAAAAGGATTTTTTTTTTGCAAAAACATTCATTTTATTTTAAAACCTGTGACTCTTATCATACAAAAATAACTAATAATAATAATAATAATAATAATAATAATAATAATAATAATAATAATAATAATAATAGTAACAAAAAATAGTAATAAGAGTAATAGTAATTCCACTCATTTAAGACAAAGCACAAAAAGCTGGGTAGCCACTTAAAACAAAAAAAGCATAAAAACAAAAAAAACAAAAGACCACAGAAAGGATTAAAAAGTGACAAAGAACGACCAGTATGTCATCCATCATGCATATTCAATAATAATAATAATAATAATAATAATAATCGTAAATATAGAATGGATAATGGCTCTGTCAGGAAAAGTGCATAAAGAGATTAAAGAGATAGGAAGAGAGAGATGGAAGGGAGAAATAATAGAATTATTAGCTAGCTAAAATTCCACAATAATAAGAGATTAATAATAATAATAATAATAATAATATATTACATTAATATTCATGTATTATATGTATTTTATAATATATATATAACGTCACACACGTCAATTTGGAGAAGACGGTATAGAATTAGAAGGAGAGCTCTGAGTCGGAGAAGAGATTGAAGAGTGGAAGCTATTATTCTGGCCCAGTACAGTGAGGACGTTTTCAACTTTCTCAAGTCCCTCAAAAAACGGCAGTAAATCTAACAGCTCTGTATCATTGGGATCATCAAACCATGAAGTAACGGGTACCTATTAATAAATGAAATATAATAATAATATTATTATTATTAGCAAATAATAACTAAATGATAAGTCAGTCACAACAACGACTGCAATAATAATGAAATCTTGATAATAGTAACACTATGGCAACAATAATAACAACAATGTATCAAGTTCAGTAACAAAAACAACAACAGGTACACACACACACACACACACACACACACTCACTGCATTGTCAGGGTGAAATATGTAGGACTGCGGAGAGTTATCAATAATGACGCATTGGGTTAGATCTCTACCAAGTTTGCTTAGATCCTGCATGGGAATGAGAAGAAAAGTAAAAAAAGGAGAAGGGGAATCGAAGAGACTTGCTTTGACGTAGTTGCCTTTATGAAAGACACAGGACTCCCTAAATAATCTGGCATCGAATGTATTCCATTTATCTAACAGATCAGCTACTGGGTCAGCATACTGAGAGAGAGAAGAGAGAGAGGAATTAAGAGAGACAGAGAAAGAAGAGGAGAAAAAGAGAGGGAGAGGGGGAGGTAAATAAGCTAATATTTTATGTTCATGTATATGTTATTACTTTAGAGAGGCTGGCAGTAAATAGAACGCATTCAAACATTTCTCCCATTCTCTTTAAGAACTCATCCACATGAGGTCTCTTCTGCACATACACCTGGTGCTGTATGTTATCAATCTCAACTGTAACCACAAAATCTGGACTGGGCACAGGCTGAAAAGAGAGAGAGAGAGAGAGAGAGATCGTAAAAATTAACACTTTATAATGATTAACATGTGTAGACCAGAATTGATGTATTTAATAGATAAACAAAGAGAGAGATGGACTATATAATTACACATACATTAGTCCAGTTATTTCATTATCTGCTAATAGGAAACTCTATAAAAACTACAATTTACTACCAGTTTATGTAACTGTTACTATTAACAGCTGCTTTACTTTCATAGGGATATAAGAATTCCCTCCTCCCACACTAAGAGAAATGTACATGAAATAACTTCACAAAGTCAAGAGTTATTTGATACATTCAAGTCAACCACACACCTTACACCTTACTGGAATATCTCAATGTACTATTATATGCAAATATCACTATTGCATTAATTAATGCATCAAAAAATATATTGATGCAATATAGATGGCTTACCCTGAATGAGCTATGAACTAGAGTCTCGTCTAAGTCAATTACTATGCATTTTCGTTGAGGTTCTCCTGCCTTTAGAGGTCTTAGCAAATACTCTGAATGATGTGTTTCAACCTGTGATAAAGAGAGAGAGAGAGAGAGAGAGAGAGAAAGAAAGGACAATAATGATAGATTCTCTGATTTTCCTGCCTGATAACAGTCAACAAATTTACTTTAACATAACACAAATTGTCAACGACAGCAACAAGTTAACCAGAACACTAAACTAAAGCTTGAAAATCTGCCACATAACACAAAGAAAAATCCCCCAGCCAGCCCACAAGACAGGGTGATAATACATATACAAACACTCACAGTACAGGGTCAATGAGCATGCAGCCATAAAGCAATTGTCCATGAAAAAATGCCCTTTTTGGGCTAATACCATCAACAAGAAATTCAATAATTACAAAGTATAAAATTTCTTTTGACACTCTCTCCTCTATAGTTAATTAATAATTATTAATTGTCACCTCCGAGTTGTGTTGGTCCTCTGCGTCAAGGGAATTAACAGGTGTGGTCTCGTCGCCCCGGAAACACGAGAAGAGCCAGTGACATATACAGTGAGATCTCATTCTCTCTCCTTTGACGCTGGTATCAATTGGAGTCGTGTTAATAGATCCTAATGACGAAAAAAATGCAATAAATAACAAGATGTTATTCCAATCCTCAATGTAGCAGCTGCAAAGAGTGCAAACACAATTATGGAATGCTACAGACACTCTCACAGATATAATATTCAACGTGTTAATGAAATCAAGGTTTGGGCTAGTATATACATGTACATGTGTGTGTGTGTGTTCTATGAGCAACGAGCTATATAGTGAAGATTAGTCTGGTAGTAAAATTTATGTTAATAGTAATTATCGTTTAGTGGTTGTACAATGTGAAATAGATGAGGTAATTAATGGTTAGTGTAGAAAGATAAACTTTACTAATAGTATAATAAGAATGACTATACTAATATAATACCTTTAATCAATAACTTAACATCAAAGTTACTGTATTACACGATACCACAACTAAACAACCAATAACATCACAGATCCCTCTCCTCTCTCTCTCTCTCTCTCTCTACAGTAGGACATGGAGACTGTATAAAATGAAACATCTTAAATAATAAAGTGCTACAACATAACTGAAATGTGCAAAATGTAATCCAAAGATTATCAGTAATCTGCATGTATGCTTCATTTACTTAGGTATACTGTAAAGTGGATTACATAATGTGTGTATATGTGTGTGTGTGTGGCTGTCTGTACATTTAAGTGCCATTAGTTAGTAGTGTACAAAGCTAAAGCAAAGAGGAGGAGTGAAGCAGAGGAATCCCTTACTCTGCAGCTCACTGTCACTATAATCACAACACAATACAATCACTAAAATAACACGCACCACCTTCTAACAGGATAAGCACAAATTGATAAGAAACAGAATATGTTTAATGAGAGAAAGAGACTGAAAGATGTCGAAGCCCTACGTTACAAATATATTTAACATGTGCATTAGCTAACGGTCTGGACTTCAGAGAAACAAGCCACGGAGAATAAATGACAAGAATTTAAAGGAGAGAAGGAGAGTGAAGGGAAAGAGGGAAGGAGAGAGAGTGAGAGTAAGAGAGATGTACTTAAAAAGGTGACAATATCATGTGTACATAAAAAGCTATAAAATCCTTTCTTTCAAAGGCAAAACAAACATATTTGAGTTTATCTTATATTGATTGTGTTTCCTATCTTACAGAAAGTATATTATAACAAAACTATAATTATGCATACAGTATTTATTATGATAACAATTATTAATTATAAAAATCGAAATACCTAGGAGTGGGTAGACCATGTACAATAACATACAGAGGGTGTTGGAATACAGTGTAAAATAATTTAGAAAACAGCATAGAAATAACAACAATCAAGAGGGAGAGATGGAGAGAGGGAAAGAGAGAGAGGGAGAAAGAAAGAGGGAGGGAGAGAGATATACAAGGTTTGTTGAGTCTGTACAATGATATCAAGCAATTAGCAAGAGAGTATCAAACTAGATGATGTGCTAGGGTGTGTTCCATTATAACAAATGGATATACAAAGAAAGAGAAAGAGTTAGGAAGAAAGATAAGAATGAAAAACAACACAAAGATCTGGCAGTGACTGTAATTTATTGTTTTGACTCAGATATACATGTAGATTATAGGACTGACCTTTATCATTAACTGTACCAGGACATGGCGTATAGCTATCTGTTTCTCTAGTCACTTGTGTTATAATGGACTGAGCCATCACTAGTGTCTAAAGTGAGGTTATATAGTTACTACTCCAGAAATCACTAATTATATTAGAAGCTGTAGGAAAGAGAGAGAGAGGGGGAGAGAGAGAGAGGGGGGTTGGGGAATGAAAAGGAATAAATAAAGTGATGATAAAATCAAGTAATGGATTGAGTGCTGATATAAGCATTATGATACATTCTGTGTTAGACACTCATTAATAAGTGCAAGATAGTGTATGTACAGCTTGTTAACAATCTGTTAAGTTTAGGGTGATGATAATTCGACAGCAAAACACAAGGCAATGTCCGCGTTGCGTGCTTTTACTTCTTCCTCTCATTCCTACTCTCACTCTACCCTCTCTTCCTCTGCCTACACATATTTGTATTAAAACTTACAGAGTTGAGGTTGTCGGGTGAATGGAGCTCGTAGCTGCTTAAGAAGCAGCAAGCAATAGAGAGGGCAAAGGAGCTAAGGACCGAAGTGTGTAGCTGGAATCCTACAGACTACCTACTATCTCTATAACTTAGAGATGAAATCTCGGTCAAAAAGTATTGCCTAAAAGTTAAAACTGGTCTCAAGCTCTGCTCAGGACTGTAGCAAGCACAGAGGGGTCTACTGCACTGCAGCCATCATTCCTTCACCGTAGGAGGCCAGAGAAAGAAGCTATCCGCAAAGGGCGTTGACTTTGTATTGTTAATGATATTCATTGGCGTTTGAACGGCTTCAGACTCAGGCCCGGGCGCTGGCTAATCTCATACCCATGCCACAGGAACCTGGTTCCGATTTTCCAGTTCTGAGACCACGCCTTTCAATAAAAATGGCCTCCAAAAGAGAGAAGAGGCAGAGAAAAGTCGCGTTTGCAGAAGAGGTAGACATTCCGGACAAGAAGAGCAAAGAAACGGATTTTACTCATCAAACAGAAGAGAGAAGTAAGTCACGTGATGTTGTCACTGATCACGTGATCTTCCACCAGAGTCCCGTTTCAAAGCTAAACACAGTCTTGATAGTGATGAAGAAGACGACATTGATACTATACAGCAAAGTGGGCTTGACGACGAGGACCTTGGGGCCCAAGAAGAAACCACAATTGTAAGCCCCACCTATATTACCACGCCCACTTATAATTACTAGGCAAACGACGGGGACATTAAATTGACGCCATTTAATCTAGAGGAAGAGATGGAAGATGGGTAATTAATTCAATAACTAGCGGCCACGCCTTTTTTCATAACGTATATAACGTAGGTATTTTGATGCCCATGGTAACTATTATGAAAAGGCTGATCCTAATGCTATACAGGACACTTGGTTGGAGGGAGTCGACTGGGCCAAAGTAAGAGTGTTGATAGTAACATCTAAAATAATCGAGAGAAGGAAATCAAAATGGAAGTCGAGGCGTTAGTTCCTCTTGTTTTTTTGTTTTAAGATTGAGGAGCAGAGACAGTGGAAAGAAGGTGCAATGGCTGCCAGTGATAAAGATGAAGAAGGAGATGCTGAGGAGGTTGTCGACAAAGTAGCAATTTATCAGCAAATTTTGAACATACTCAAGCCTGGAGAGACTGTAGTGAAGGTGTGTGCATGTACTTTTATATATGAATGTGTGTATGCTGTGTGGTATTGTTTTAGGCTCTTGCAAGATTAGGTAGTAGCAGGAGCATGTCTGCCAGTGAGAGACTCAAGCAAAAAAAGAAAAAGAAATCTACAGGAGAGACTACAGAAACTGATAAAGTGAGATAAAGGGGCGAGTGAGGGAGGGGAGGGTGTTACTGTATTTTTTATTTAGAGTTCAGCTGATAAAGAGGAGGAGAGAAAGAATGTAGACGCATTGACTGGTTGTGCCGATCAACTAGTTGCCATTGGAGACTACAGTAAGAACAAGACAAAAGGAACTAGCCTATATAATTATAATGCTCCTTTTCTTTATTTAAAGGTGTCTATGAGGACACTTATGAAAAAATTAAATACAAACTGCACAAAGAAGAGGAAGCTAGAAGTAAATGACTCTAACTCTTTCTTTTATTCACCACCTTTCTTTCTCTATCACTCTCTCCTCTGCTGATTCCCCTTAGAACCTGTCGACATGTTTTCCGATGATGTCCCGAGCACTTCAAAGGGAGAAACATCCAGTGGGCCTCCTCCATTGTCGGACGAGGTGATGTGGGAATATCGTTTGAAGAACGAAGAAGATGAAGAGATACACGGTCCGTTTTCAAGCACCCAAATGAAAGAATGGACAGAAAACGAGTAAGAATTTGTGATTGAAGTTTAATTGAACCTGTTTGTGTGTGGAGAGCCAATTAAGTCATGTTCTTTACTCTGTTTTTGTAGTCATTTCCCAGAGGGAGTTTGGGTACGTAAAGCTAATTCGGCCAATGCACAGTTCTATAGTTCAAAGAGGATCGATTTTGATCTGTACTCGTAGTAAATAATAGTACGATAATACTATAACCACAATGCACTGACATTTTGCAGTACAACTTCGCATGAAATTTTGTAGTGTAATACACTATTAACAGCAAAAGAGAGAGAGAGAGTGAGCAATATTTTTTAATTTATTGTCATTTATAAATGTGAAAAAAAATTTTCAAAGTCACTAAGAGAAAAGATTCCAAAATAAAAGGAAACAGAATAATAATAATAATTTAATCAACAGCAACAATGTTAGACATAGATATAAAAATTGACAAGTGAGAAAGTGTCAAGATGTCAACCATGTCGTAATAACAATTATAACAACAATAATAATGATAATGACTAAATTTCTTCCCTGTAACTATGGTACAGAAAAAAAGATGTAACACTACATAACAGTTGCATTTGGTTCAATTTAATCTCTTATAAAACAAGAGAGTGAAGGGTATCCTCTCCTGGAATGGGATTAAGATTTAGTAGCAGAAAGAATCTCAATTCTAAAAATGAGATTTGCATTAGGTGGAATCGTGAGAGAGAGAGAGAGAGTCAAGGAAAACGGTCTATTAACTTTTTAAAACATATTACAAAAGTTTATTAATTCTTATTATTTTTATATAATTAAGAGTTATAAATGCATGCACATGCACTGAACTTAAATTTTTGAAATTCAAACTACAGGAAAGCCATAAACAAATACACACGTCATTATGTTAAAAGGATATCCCCATGATGGGAAGCCACTGTTTCCATATCCAAGAGCAGAAGCAATATGAAGCTCAGCTTCTTCACCGACCGTCATTGAGAGACAGCCTTGGTCCCACCCTGTAGGGAGGAGGAGTGACAAGAGAGGGAGAGAGAGGAGTAACAAAATATGGTAAAGATAATCATAAATAAAAACAAGATGCAATAACAAACGCATTACCTGGTATTACTTGCCCGATACCCACGTTAAACGTGAACGGTTGCTGTCCTGGATCTTTGGTACTAAAAAATGCACTTGATAACCATATTTGGAATTAGTGATGACACAAGTATATTTAGCCTAGTCCTCACCTCCAGAACTTTTTCCTATCAGCCTCGAGCATCCCGACGCAATGGACGGTCACCTTGTCGTTAGTTCGGACGGGAGGGCCATGGCCAGGCCTCAGAATCGTCTTAGTCAGACCAGCTGGTAGAGTAACGGATTCGGACATTTTATTTCTTTCTCTGCCTGTATGTGTGCAGTGGTAGGGTAATAAAAAAGGATAGAGTGAACACCGACGGTTACAAAACCTGACAAGCGTGCCCAGCCTCCAGATATACCGTTTGCAACTCTAATGGCGGATCGGGTTAGCTAATAGCTAAATAAAGGAAAGAGTGAAAAACGTGATCCTATTGAATACCGGATTGATCCCTTTTCTACGTGCAGAATTTCAGCCACACCTTCATGTGGGTGGAGCTTCTTTTGCAGCGCCGCTGTGGGCGGAGCTACTTTACAACGGTCCATTTTTGTGAAGCACAAAGGAGCTAGCAAACACAATGAATGCAATGATGCTGCTGCAGCAGCTTGTAGTATTTCTCCTCTTCTCAGTTCTCTCCGTATCAGCTATTGGAAGTTATCAGGTCCTATATGCGGAAGGTACAAGCGCCTATTACGAAGAGGACTGGAGAACAGCAGTAGATAAATTAGAAAGAGCTTTAGCGGATTACAACGAAGTAAAGAAAGCAAAAGAGACATGCTACAAGGAATGCTCAGACGAGAGAGCTTCCATACCAGGTGATTATGTCGATGATGAGCAGCTACACTTCTTCCATGCTTTACTTGAGAGGTCATCCTGTCGAAAGAAATGCAATAAAAAGCTGATGGGCGAAGAATACAACTTGTCAGAAAAAGTATCCAAAAAAATCAACGAAGTCATGTCTAGTGGAGAGATTCACATCTTCATACAGTACTCATTATACAATGTAAGGAATAATATTTTGTATGTCTTCCACTCAGCCAATGGGTGAAGGTTGCTATACAAAACAAAAGATGCAATAATGAACCAATTCACAAATACAATTCATTATTATTTGCACCTTAGCTTAGCTTTAGCTGAATGAACACCACCCAATGGCTTAAAATGATTTTACTGTCCTCTTTTGTACTTATGCCTTATGAGCTGAGTCTTTTTTCTCTGATAGTTGAACAATGTAACTGGTGGTGCTGCACATGCTGCTACTCATCTGTATCTCAGTCCTGGCAGCAGTCCTGCAAGAGCTAACATGGAATACTATCAGTCATTGAAGGAGCTCTCTGAGTCTGATTTCAAGCCACTGTACAGCAAAGCATACAGGGACTTGTATGTCGAAGGACAGGCTCTGTATAATAGCGACGAGTATGAGAAAATGGTGGATAAAGTTGAAGAAGCACTTTTAGAGTATTACATAGAAATTGAGAAGTGCAGGTAAAAGATATAATTAATTTTTATGATAAATGTATTAATTTGTTTTGTTCACAGGTTAGAGTGCGAAGGACCTCAGGAATTCAATGGATCTAAGTTTTTTGCTGAAGCAATGTGGAGCCACCATCACTCGTACTTGCAGTGCCAATATGACTGCCCAGAGAAACTGGGAGACTTTAGAGATGATGATACACATCGAGTCAACTTCCTTGGATCTTTCTATCACTACCTTACTTATGGATACTTCAACAGTAAGAGTTCAGATATTCATGACTCAGCACATGTTAAGCTCAAACTTTCTACGTAGATACATTATGTATGTGTATCAAATGATGCAGTAAAAATCAAAAATTTTCAAGTTACTGCCATTAAAAAAAGCCAAAATTCTGAAAAATACCCAAAGGTATAGCCCATGGTTTTTTCTAAAAAATGACTCCAAAATCATCCCCAATTTTTATTACATTTTCTGATACATATTGATGTTCTTATGCTATGTAGAAAGTTTGAGCTGATCCCAACTTAAAATTTTAAAGTTATGGCCATTTTAAGAAAATGCCAAAATTTTGAAAAGTACCCAAGGCTATAACCCATGGTTTTTTCCAAAAAATGGCTCCAAAATCACACCCAATTTTTATTACATTTTCTGATACATATTGATGTCCTTATGTTATGTAGAAAGTTTGAGCTGGTTCCGACTTAAAATTTTGAAGTTATGGCCATTTTAAGAAAATGCCAAAATTCTGAAAAATACCCAAAGGTATAGCCGATGGTTTTTTCCAAAAAATGGCTCCGAAATCACGCCCAATTTTTATTACATTTTCTGATACATATTGATGTCCTTATGTTATGTAGAAAGTTTGAGCTGATTCCAACTTAAAATTTTAAAGTTACGGCCATTTTAAGAAAATGCCAAAATTTTGAAAAGTACCCAAGGCTATAGCCCATGGTTTTTTCCAAAAAATGGCTCCAAAATCACCTCATATTTTTATTACATTTTCTGATACATATTGATGTCCTTATACTATGTAAAAAGTTTGAGCTAATTCCAACTTAAAATTTTTGAGTTACAGCTATTTTAAGAAAATGCCAAAATTTTGAAAAATACCCAAGGCTATAGCCCATGGTATTTTCCAAAAAATGGCTCCGAAATCACCCCATATTTTTATTACATTTTCTGATACATATTAATGCCCTAATGCTATATTGAAAGTTTGAGCTAATTCTGACCTAAATTTTTTGAGTTATAAGCATTTAAAAAAATAGGCCCCAATTTTTATTACATTTTCTGATACATATTGATGTCCTTATGCTCTGTAGAAAGTTTGAACTGATTCCAACTTACAATTTTCAAGTTACAGCCACTTTAAGAAAACTCCAAAATTTTAAAAAATACCCATGGTTTTTTTCCAAAAATTGACATCAGAAAATGTACTGTAGTGTACCCTAAATTAATAAAGGGAGGGCAAGAGATAATGTTATTATTATTGCTGTGTAGTTAAAAGGATGAAAGATGCAGCAAAGGCAGTTATGACTCACTTGAGGATAGAGCCTAACAGCAAGATTGCTGTCATGAACAAAGGATACATCAAGCAGCAGCCAGGGATTACAATCAAAGACTTTGTTGAGCGTGAAGTAATCCCACTATCATGCAAAGCATCAATTTGTCATTATAATAATTTAGGATGCTAAATCTCTTCTTGACAGAATGGAAAAAGAAAAAAAGGTTTTAGACATGCTAGAAAGGCTTTCAAAAAGAGACATTGCTGATGTCCCAGTTTCAGAAGAAGATAAAAACGACGAAGAATTGGTATTGATACAGACCTAAACTAACTAGAATCATATTCCATTTAGCTTGAGGAAGATTTTAATAAGTTTCCTGTCATTAAAGAGGAAGAATTTGAAATGAAAGAAGAGAAAGTTTCTGAAGAGAAACCTGCTGAAAAAGAAGAATCAAAAGAAGATGACACAAAAAATAAAGTTAGCTCATAATCATTATCATCATCATCATCATTATTCTGGGTAAAGGTTGTTGTTCTTGAGACAGCAGCAGATCATGGAGGAGTGCACAGAGTCTTACTAGATAATTTGATTACTCAAGAACAGTGTCAATCATTTCTAGAACTAACAAAAGTAAGCACATTGCTTTCTAAGAAAAAAATGAATTTTATTTGATACATAATGTATTATGTTTTTATATGTAAGTTTGAGCTGATTCCAAGCACTATAAAAAAATAATTATGGGTATCTTAAAAAGCATTATGTATTTATTCTATTAGAATTGTGTAGAGGGAGATGGATATCAGAGGAAGTCACCTCACACACCACATGAGAAATTTGAAGGACTTCATGTGCTTGATGCTGCTAAAGTGAATACGTTATTATCATCATCATCATCATCATCATCATCATAATTGTTTATTATTGCAGGGAGCAGTGAGAAAAACAATTAAAAAGGAACTAGCTCAGCTTTATCTTGATGCCAGTGAGCTAGTTAGGTCTGCTCTGGTTGAACAATTCAATTTGTCACGGCCACTTTTTTTCTCATACACTCACCTCGTCTGTAGAACAGGCTTATTAAGTATGTGCATTATCAAGTATGTGCATAGTTCACACATTTAAACAATAGCTATTTTGATTATATCACGCAATAGAATGAATGTTGAACAGCACCAATCCTTTGTACTCTTATTATTTATATTACTATTTAGGCTCTTCTGATAGACATGACTTAAGCCACCCGGTGCATGCTGACAATTGTGTCCAGGAGGAACATAATGGAGAATGCTATAAGAGACAACCAGCTTACACGTGGAGAGATTACAGGTAATAGACAATGCTTTCCATGCCTCCTATTCACTATCATACACCCACAGTGCTATTCTGTACTTGAACGATGATTTTGAAGGTGGGAAGTTCTTTTTTGCACATTCTCAATTTGATACAACTCCACAAGTAAGTCAGTAATGTTATGCAAGGTGTGTTTAATGGCCAGTAGCACTATGTGACTCCTAAATGTGGGAGGATGGTTGGTTTCTCTGCAGGTAAGGAGAACATGCATGGAGTGACCGCAATTACTAAAGGAAGGAGATGTGCTGTTGCTCTATGGCTGACATTAGATCCTCGACATCGCGAGACAACATTTGACGAAGCACAAACACTCCTCAATGGAGTCTTTTAGAACCTTTAAGAACCCCATGAGAATCATTACTCCGATTGAATGTGTATTGTATGAATTTGTGAGATTACAATGATTGTGGTATAAAATACAAAATGTGAAATAAATGATGATTGTGAATAATAATTGATGTGAGCAGATGTTTATAGAGTAGATATATACTCCGTGAGTGCTCCATTGGTTTCATATGATGGCTTCATTCATAGTAGTCTTCCTGAACTCCAGCTCTTTGATCTTACAGTTCACAATAATGATTGATATGCTAACAAAGACTATCATTAGAAGTAGGACAATGGAACCCAGCAGGAATAGGTAGAAATACAACATGTCTTGTTGTTCAGTGCCATTGTTATCTATTGAGAGTGAAGACAAAATGATAAACAATACACATTAATCAAACACAATGCATTGTGAACATAGCAACAGTTCCACACTAACTTTCATCAGTTGACTGTTCGTTAGTAGTTGATTGTGGCGTACTATTAGTTGCATTATTATTATTATTATTATTATTATTAGACTCGGTCGGTAAAGTTAATGGAGGGAGTGTTGGAGCAGTTGTACTGCTGCCACCATCTTCCGTACCACTTGTAATTGAAACTGGCTGCAAGTCTTGATTGCAATAGTCTCCAGATTCGCAATATCTCCTCAAATAGAGTTTACAGTCTGAGAGTATTCGGTCATTAATACAGCAACCAAAGGTTAAAGGGCTTCCCTTGTCTCGGGAGGTCTCTACAAAGCAGGCACCATTTGAGAGAGGGACGTGACAGGTATTATTGGAGAAGCAGTTTATAGTGTTGTGGCAATGGCAGGTTAGGAAATCTGAGGCAGAGATTATCCTGTCACCTTTAAAAAGACAGAGAAAATGGGAGAGCTGAAAAGGAGGAGGACAAATGGGGGAACTTACTCAAAATAACAGAAGCAAGAATTATCACAAGTCGAATCATCTCGATGTGATAATAGACGCTAGGTGAAGGTGTGAATCACACTTGCTGCTAGATCTATGGAGGGACTAAGGGAGCAGCAAGAGGCGCTAGCTAATAATGTAATACTCGTGAGAGAGAAGCCTTGTATCTGTGGTCTCTGTAATTGCAGGTGAGCCCAGATGTTTATATTGCTAGTAAAACCAAAGGAGGGGCCAGTAATGTATACTGTCTTACTGTTTCCTCCTTTTGCAGCAAAAGACACCAGTGCCCAGTACATCATGGACCCGTTGGTGAAGCCATGTTCCACCAAAGCAACTTGGGAGAGCCGCAGACAGAGTACAGACTCATATACTGCAGCACAGCTGGGAACGCAAGAGGCTATGATGTACCCACACTCTATAAGCATCATAAGAGAGGCATAAAACTTCATCCTAAAGTTCTTCCAGCTCCTCCAAAATCTAAGGTAGAGAGCGGTACGACTTATGTGAGGGCTTTCCCTGATCCTGGCTATCAAAAGATGAGGGATAATCTTAAACCAGATGACACGTATATCAAAACCGATTCCAAATTTCAAGACGAGACCTCGTACAATGTTGATTTTTTTGATCGCTTACAGCATGCAGATGCAGAAGCAGCCAAGCCTCCTCCCTCGCCTGAAACTTATAAAGAGCTTACACTGCCTACCATTGTCAATTGCTCTTTGCACTATGAGACGACAAACGAAAAGTTCTTTCCTAAATGGAAGAACACGAGTCAGTGTCGCTTGAAGCCTTATGGCGAGCCGTTTATCAAACCTTTGTTTGCAGGGCAATTCAATGACGAGACTGTTACCAAAAGAGAATTCTATAAAAAGTCGATTCGACCTCGTACTTGCTACGTACCAACTGACGGTAAACTCTACGGAGGAGGAAAGTTTGAAGACCTCACAGTTACTAAAAACACTTTCCTTCCTAAGATCATAGAAAGAGACATGCCATTCCTTCGGCACAACTCACTGAAAAATGTTGAATCAGTGGAACCAATCAAAGCTGGAAGGATGCAGAATATCACTCAATACAGACGCGATAATCTCCCATTGCTCCATCAGCCACCGAAAAGGAAACTGTGTCGACCGGAAGCAGACAAGATTATATCTTTATCGAATGGTTTCAACCTCCCATTGATTACGATGCAAAGTACGGCTTTCCCTCACTGGGGCAGGGTAGAGGTACCGGCCCTTCTCAAGAGAGAGGACCAGACCGAGAGACTCGTGGGACCTTTTCAAAAGAAGACGCATTACGATGATCACTATAAGCCAGTGAGTCTACCCCGCCCTCGTGTGAAGAAACAGGAAGAAACCCCTTTTGTCTACCATCATCAAAGGATACCCTTTCCGATTTCGGTTAACCAGTCAGAGTATTTTAAATTCAAAACCGTGCGTCCTCGTCGATTCCACGGTGACAAAGCAGAGCTCAAGGTCTACCGAGGCCCGCCAAAAGTAAAGTTTGGCTGCAACACTCACTACCAGGACTTTTTCCCTGGAGTGACTGGGATGAGGCCTAAAGACTTCAAACCGATCGACGCAAGAATAATAGATATTGGGAAACTCTCCGACTCAACAAGTTACAAAGATCACTATCCAAAGAGAGAGCTAAGCATCAGACCAATATGTCCAGCAGAATTAGTGCTAGCTAGTTTTTGTTGAATACCCACAGTAGCATAATGTACCTATTAATGATATTGATGAATCACTTGTTTTTTTTTTCACTTATTTTTTCCACACTACATGTACATTGTACATTGGACTGAGAAGTAATTAATTATAAAGTGATCATAATAATAATAAATTAATCATAACACAACTAAAATGAGAAGATGGAGAGAAAATTAACAAAGACAGAGAGCGATGATGAGAATAGAAAGTACGAAACGAAATCATAATAATAATAATTAATAATAATAATAATAATAATAATAATAATAAGCAATCAAAAATGTTTCACATGTGAGCTATCATTTTAATAATATAAAATAATAATAATAATAATAAAAACAAATTAAAATGGCGGCTAGCTGTTGCTCCATCACTTCTTTTTCTTTTTGGCTTCCTCTTTCTGTCTCTTCTTGTCTTCCTTCTGCTTTCTCTCGTGTTCCTTTTTTAGTTTTTCGGCATACGGTTTCAATGTTTTCAGTTCCTTTTTGAACGTGTTCCTCTCATCATTGCTGGTCATACCATAACTCTAAGAAATAAAGAAATAAATTAATAATAATAATTGCACTTATGTTGTGTATCAACTCTGAGCTAATTCCAATTTCAAATTTGTTTTTTTTACAAATTTTTAAAGTTGCTCCAAATGCTAGTTAACAGCTCATAAATCATGCTGTTTAGCTTATACTTAACATGCTTTGTGGGAAACTCTGAGCAAATGCGCTGGAGTAAAACCTGCTTACTTTTAGTTTAGTATTATCCAAGTCAAAGAGTACGTAACCCTTTACTCCTTTCTCCTTGAAAGCTCCTGCATGACTTCCAAGCCCAATGTTTCCCAGCCACATTCCAACGACTTCAGGCGACCAGAACAGAACATTCTCTACGTCAGGGGTAGCGGACGACATGACGTGGGATGCTCCCCTCAGCATCTCCTCCTGGTCAATCTCTGGGGATGGGCCGTCGAGCTCGTCCTCTGAATAATCAAGATTATCAGCTGAGGAACTAGAAGGAAGCTTTTTGGAGATCTCTGGGGACGATTCCGCATTTCCGGAATGAATGGGTGTGGTCATAGGTGACTTCTTGGGTGTGGTTCCAGGCGTGGTCTGAGACGAAGACTGTGACTTGTCACTTACTTGAGTATCGGAACGAGATATCTCGGGATCATCACTAGGCTCTTCATTCTCAGCTTGAGCTGGTTGCTCTTCAGTACTCTGTGTATACTCATTACTATCAGTGCTAGTGCCACTGGCCACTGTATAACTGCGATGTCTCATCTCCCCTGGTAGACCCATAGGTATTCCTATATTGAAAGCACCAGGGGGTAGTTTACGGGGCTGTTTTTTAGGCGTCACTTCATCCAGTTCCTCCATGCTCTTAGATCGCTCCAAAGTGCCTCCATCAGTCTCATCCTCTCCTTTCTTATCTTCATCCTCAGCCTTGCTCTCCCTTTTATGCCTTGTTGGTGAATCAGACACATCTATAGATGATGATTTCGGCAGCGGTACGATTTTCTTCCTAACAGGAGGTGCCATTCCTTTCGACTTGTACTCCGCCTGTTTGGCCATTGCTTGCTGTGCTAGCATCATTTTCTCTTTGACTGTTAGTTCGGCCGGGTCCTTTCTTTTGAGGCCTTCCAGGAGGTCCGCCTGAGGGGCCGGGTCCTGTGTGGGGGTATTGGTACGAGGGGAAGGCTTAGGGGGAACAGGTTTGGGCTTCTTTGTAGGAGGGACAGGGCTGGAAGAAACCGGAGGAGTGCTATCATCATGGAGTGACGTACGGACTGGCTTCTTTGCTCTACTAGGACTAGCAGTCTGGGGCGGAGTAGAGCTCTTTCCTTTATCTTCACTTTGCTCTCCTCCTCCATCGCCTGCCTTCTCTTTAGAGGCCGAACGAGGAACCGGTATAGGTCGTTTGGCAGGTTTAGGACTTTCTGTCTCCTCGGATTTAATCTCGCCAGGCTCTGGACTAGATACCCGCCTTCTTGGCTGAGTGCGTGGTTTAACTTTAGGAGGCGGAGCCTGCGGGAGTTTCATGGGTGTGGCAATGCTGTGTCTTGCTTCTCCTCCTCCTCCCTCCTCCTCTTCCTGGATGGCAAGGCGTGGCATGTTCTCTGGGAATATCATTGAAAGGTTTCCTAAGCTACGTAAGTGGCCTTGAGATGGTTTCTTTCGTCTTCGCTGTGAGGAGAGACGTGCTCTATCACGACTTGCAGAACAATCCAATTGACCAGAACTGGCTAATTTCAATGTCCCAAACGGCTTAGGATCTAAAATATAAGTATATGTAAATAGGTGTGGTTATAGGTGGAGCTTACCTTCATCGGGTGTGGTCTCTCTACTTTTATTACTGGCAGTTGAGCTGCTGCTTGTTTTCCGTTCAGTGTCTCCTGGTAGAGGAGACTTCTCTTTCTTCTCCTCCTCCTCTTTCTGAGGCTCTTTCTCTTTCTCTTCTTGTGGTTTATCCTGGACAGCATCTTCAACCTTTTCCTCTACAACTTTGTCTTTCTCCCTTTCTTTCTCTTTCTCCTTTTCTTTCTCTTTCTCATTTTCTTCCTCTTTCTCTTCCACTATACTCTTTCTCTTTCTGTCTTCACGTGTATCATTTTTATCGGACATTAATAATTTCTCGTTAGCGACATTCAACGCCTCCTCACTGACCCGAAGCTTCTCCTTGGTTTCCTCAAGGGATTTGACAGTTGATGCTAACTTCCCCTCCACCTCTCCGAGTCTCTCCTCGGCTGATGAGAGCATGCTCTTGGTGGATTGAAGCTCTTCTTTAGTGCTGTCTAGTTCATTTTGTGTTGAAACCAGTTCCTCGTTGCTAGAGGGAGAATCCTGAGACTCTTGTTGTGTGGCTGATTCTAACTTCTTTTCTAATTCTATGATCTTCTCTGATAAGCTATATATATTTACATGTATATTATGAGAGAAAAACAAATAAAAAAATAAGCTTCATGATTTCATTATTATTAAAATGATGTACAGTACATACACATGTACATGTGAATCAAGAGAGAAGTGAATGTATGTGTACACACAAACAGTTACAGTTACATGTAACTACAGTCTGTCATACTTTCTCTTGCCAAGTGATTAAGTCGTATGATATGCTAATATCAATATAATGCGTGGCTACTGACCTTTTGGTGGATAGCTCCTTGTCCTTCTTCTCTTTGGTCAACTGTTCCTTTAACTTGGTGACTTCCTCTTCAGCATCGCTAAGAGACAGAGAAAAATGAGAAAGATGAAGAAGAATGAGAGAGAGAGATGAGGTATCATAGGAATGCCATCAGTACTGTTGACACTGGTAATGTCATTGTTTGTTTTTAAATTGGTAAAACGATATGCACACACACCAAGACACTTGTACATGTACTTACCTTGTTTTATTCTTCTCAAGCTTTTCCTTGTCCAGTTCTGACTTCACGGCTGCTAGTTCCTCTCTCAGTCTCTCACTCTCTTTCTTCTCTTCGTTAAGGTCAGACTCTAAAGAGGTCACCTTCTTGTTCAACGACTGTATCTCCTTAGAGTCCTTTTCATGTTTCTCTGTAGCCTCCTTTAACTAAAAGTAAAGTCGTTGTATTGGTGGGGCATTAAATAGAACGTGTTATAATGATGCGTATAAGAATGCCAGTTGAAATTATAGTCGTGGCCCGGTGTTATTTAAAAGACAACACATATTTGTTGCATCAAAGCTTACCTTGGCTTTCAGTTCACTAGCTTCGTTGTCTTTTGAGTCACCAGAGGAATTCAGTTTCTCAGTCAAACTCTTCACTTTAATCTCCAACTGGAGAAAGAGAGAGAGAGGGAGAGAGAGAGAGGGGGGAGAGAGAGGGAAAGGGGGAGGGAGAGGGAAGGAGAGAGGGAGGGAGAGAGGAGAGGGGGAACAAAAAGGGTCAATACAAGGTGACAAGGTCAGAGAGTATACAACACACAAGTTACAGTGCATTATTGTAGTTTAGTTTGCTTGCCAATCAGCCACAAATACAAAGAGGGTTACCATTATAGGATTGAGCAACAACACACATACACAGACTGTAGTACATCACGTTATTCACATACACAAATCATAGTGCTATACCTAACTGTGTGTCTATACACTAATATCACTAACAACAACTGAGGCACATACTGTACACACATAAATACAATCAAAGACTCCCTTGAGTGTATAACTGCATACTGTATGTATAATTGCATACAAGTATATTGTGGTGAGTCGTTGGGGTTAGAAAAGGTGAGGTGTATAAGGGTATACAGAAGTTTTACTGAGTTAATTTACTGACTTTTGTCTTGTCAACTGTGACGGTTGCCAAAGCTTGTGTCAAATCAGTTACTGTCTCTTGGCTCTCTTTTAACTAATGGAGGAAAGAGAGAGAAAAAAGAGGGAGAGAGAGAGAGAGAGAGAGAGAGAGAGAGAGAGAGAGAGAGAGAGAGAGAGAGAGAGGGAGGGAGAAAGAGAGAAAAAGAGGGAGAGAGAGGATGAAGGAAAGTGACCAAGGGTATTAATTAAAGGTATGCAATGATATCAGTCCATAAATAGTCATCAACAAGTATACAGTGCAAAGTGAGTGAATTAAGAACAATTAAGACTTAAATAAAAGAATGTGTTTAGATAGAGACAAGCTCATATATAGTAAGACATGAGAGGGAGTGGATAATACACACACACACTGATGTGATACTAATTATTCCAATAATGTAGACTGGGGGTACTGCTGCAGTCATAATTGTCCACTCTTGTTATGAATAATACAGTACAAACAATTATGTAATGTATTCCTCCTATTATCCTATTATCATTATTTATTATTTTGATATCACTGTTATCATTATTAAACAAGGCATAGCAGACAATAAAACACAATCATAATACTTATTATAAGGATCATCTTCATTATTATTATCATTATTATTATTATATACAATCAGTACTATTGGCACTAGTTTCAAAACTAGCACGTAGGATACAGTATGACTTCTAATTCTTAGCCAGTTTTAAGTCTCATGGTGCCAATTACAAAATAACACATACACACAAGCATACATACATATACATGTACATGTACATGCATACGCAAACAAGTGCTAAATGGAAAGATTCTGTTGTTCTTGGCTCCTCAAATCTTATGCTTAAAATCAAATATACTTGTCAAAACTTTTGATAAATATAACATAAAATAATATGTACCTCTTTCTTGATGGACGATATTTCTTCTTTTAAACTCTCGTTGCTTTCCTACAAAAAAGGAGAGAAGGCACCAAGTTTAGAGATAATGATAACAGTTTATTTTTCAATAGTACACACACAGACAGGTACTAATGCACCAGCAGCTGGTAAAACTAGCAACTATTATATACATGTTTTAAAAGACAAAAACCAGCCCAGGCCTTGCTCTAAGCACACCCATGTCTCCCTTACCTCCATTTCTTTAGAACTATCTCCCATAGACTACACTACTATACCAGGACCACGTTTTTAATGGCTCTACCAGACAAAGGGTCGAGGGATGGCGTGCTAATGGCTCGCTTATAAGGCTGCTATTGGGAATCCTTTGTCCAGGGGAAAAGAGTTATGGAGAAAGAGAGCAGCTAAGGGCTTGAGCCAAGAGATTGAGGGCGAGTAAGAGAGAGGGGGAGAGGAAGAACGAGCTCAACCAACTTCCTTGTGCTTGTGGCTAATAAAATTGTTTTAATTAATTACCGCGGCCACGCCCACTTAATTAACAAAACACTAACAGAATGGGAATTGATGAACCAATGGAGTGTGTGAGAATAGAAATTTGTAGGAAAAATAAATAAAAAATAAAAATTACCTTTGAAGTATTGCTAAGTGTTCTTCCAACCTTTAACCTAAACATATAATAGAATATTACTAAAAATAATTTATGTTCTATGCTATTATACTTTCTTCTACAATTTTTATTCACTTTTCCCTTACCTAACAGTCTTCCCTGCATTCCTCAATACTCTAGCAGCATCTTCAAGTGTAGAGCCAACCATTGATACGCCTGCAATTTCAACCAACATGTCTGATTCACGTACACTAGAAAAATAAATAACAAAAAAGTAATTTAATACAATTGAATTGATTAAAAACGTACAGCCCATTTTTATCAGCAGCAGAATCGGGTACAATCTCTTTAACAAAGACACCAACTTCCAGTCCCTTCCTAGTCTGGGCATATCCTTCAGCTATGTGTAACCCAAACCCCTGGCCCTCAACTGAGAAAAAAAGAGAAAAATAAAATTAAACAGAGAGGAAAAGAGTAAATGAAATGACAGCTTAAAAGAAAATTGACTACAATAAATTTAAGTGTGTGTCTATGTGTAATATCTGTGATAATTAAGAAAGAAAGAGAGAGAAAAGAATTAAGATTGGATCTTATATACTTACTTCTTTGTAGCTCAACACTGAACAAGTCCATTCTAGCCAATGCTCCCTCACTGATTGCCTTCTTCATCTTCCTCTCTTCACTGCCATTCATTGACTGCATTACAGAACCATCACCAAAAAACAGAGAATAAGGAGAAAGGAGAGAAAAAGTGAGAGAGAGAAGGAAAGAGAAAGAGACGTAGTAGAATATAATAAACTGTATGAATAACACTTTAAGTCTCAGCTGGAAAACAATGAAGATAACCACACCCACTTTAATGATTTATACACACCCACACAAAGCATACATGAGTGCCTACACACACACCCCCTCATTTGATTAGCTTTCGTTTAATTAAAATCTGTTTAATTAAAATCCTTCCAACTTACGATACCTTAGTTTATCGATATTGGCTTATTAATAATTATTAGTTTTTTGTAGCATTGAAATTATTATAAGCATTGTGCTGGTTGTCATGGTAAGAGAGCTAGGCCCAGACGTCCAATCAGGGCAATCTCAAATTATAGAGTGAAATCATCATAGTGTTACAATACAATAGTAGTCTGTTGATATCACTAGTAATGATTCACTTATTTAAACAATTCCACTAAAAATGATTAGCGAGAGAGAGCTTATTACAATAATGATATCATTATGTATTTTATCAGTTGCCTATAGTCATCATGAATTAGGAAATTGGAACATACAGTGTACATGTGCATGTATTTTTTAAAATGGCCATAACTCAAAAATTTCTCATCAGAATCAACTCAAACTTTCTACACAGCATAAGGACATCAATATGTATCAAAAAATGTAATAAAAATTGGGGGTCATTTCGGAGCCATTTTTTGGAAAAAAACCCTGGGCTATAGCCTTGGGTATTTTTCAAAATTTTGGCATTTTCTTAAAATGGCCGTAACTCAAAAAATTTAAGTCGGAATCAGCTCAAACTTTTTACATAGCATAAGGGCATCAATATGTATCAGAAAACGTAATAAAAATTGGGGGTCATTTCAGAGCCATTTTTTGGACAAAACCATGGGCTATAGTACAGGGTATTTTTCCAAAATTGGCCTATTTTTAAAAATGTTCATAACTCGAAAAATTTAAGTCAAAATCAGCTCAAACTTTCTATATAGCATAAAGGCATCAATATGTATCAGAAAACGTAATAAAAATTAATGGTGATTTCGGAGCCATTTTTTGGAAAAAACCATGGGCTATATAGCCTTGGGTATTTTTCAAAATTTTGGCATTTTCTTTAAATGGCCGTAACTCGAAAAATTAAAGTCAGAATCAGCTCAAACTTTTTACACAGCATAAGGACATCAATATGTATCAGAAAATGTAATAAAAATTGGGGGTGATTTCGGAGCCATTTTTCGGAAAAAACCATGGGCTATAGCCTTGGGTATTTTTCAAAATTTTGGCATTTTCTTAAAATGGCCGTAACTCGAAAAATTAAAGTCGGAATCAGCTCAAACTTTTTACACAGCATAAGGACATCAATATGTATCAGAAAATGTAATAAAAATTGGGGGTCATTTTGGAGCCATTTTTTGGAAAAACCCTGGGCTATAGTACAGGGCATTTTTCTGAAATTGGCCTATTTTAAAAAATACTTATAACTTGAAAAATTTAAGTCGGAATCAGCTCAAACTTTCTGTATAGCATAAGGACATCAATATGCATCAGAAAATGTAATAAAAATTGGGGGTCATTTCGGAGCCATTTTTTGGAAAAAACCATGGGCTTATAGTACAGGGCATTTTTCTGAAATTGGCCTATTTTTAAAATACTCATAACTTGAAAAATTTAAGTCGAAATCAGCTCAAACTTTCTATATAGCATAAGGACATCATTACAGTAAATTTGGTTAATACAATAGCTGCATAGTATTTTCAGAAATTGTATACATAATGAAAAGAAATGGCCATAAAGCAAACCACACGAGTTGCTCCAAATTATTAACTTTCTATTTCCAAACAGACATCTCTCATTCCCTAATGAATAACTGTAAACCCTACACACAATACAGTGCACCATTTAGCAACTCTGCAGACAATATCCGTACAAATTAAAACACACACACACTTACATGTACATACACGTACATTACATACATGTACATGTACATGTACACCCATACATACATGTACATTGTACAGTAATAGCATCCCTACCTCTTTATTAACAGGAATAGGGGCGGATGCTAAAGATTCCCTCTTGTTAGGAGTCGATTCGTTTCCTTTAATTTCAACTGGTGGAAGTGTCACTTTCTTTTCTTCTTTTATTTCTTGCTGTTTCTCTTTCTTTTCCTCTCCTTCAGCTGCTGCTGGTACAACAGCTTTAGGTGGAATAGGAGGCGGAGGCTGACCAGAAGGAGTCGTCGTTTCTTCAGTTTTACCTTGCGATGGACTCCTTTTATGAAGAGAAGAGCTAGATGAGCTATCAGAATATTTCTTTGTTTCAAGTAACGGGCTATTCCCATTGGTCGCTTGAGTTGTATCTTTAGGACGAGGTGGGAGAGGTCCCGGTTTTGGAGGGGGAGGGGCCGTTCTTGCAGGTGCGACTTTACGTCCCGTGTTCGGAGAAACTATTTCTTTTTTTGATGAAGGAGGAGTAGAACTGTCGGCTGATTTCTGTCTAGTGTGGGGAGGGGGCGGGGCCCTCTTGGACGGCATAATGATGGGGGATTGGTCACCAGATTGAGGGCGTGGCTCTTTGATCTTTGCTTGTACGGAATTAACGTCAGTGACACTAGCTGATTTCTGACGTAATCCTGAGTCAAGACGAACCGCGTGGGTGGGCATGGCTTCACTCTTTACCTGTTCCTGTGGAGGTGTGGTTTCAATCATTGGAGGTGTAGCTTCCTTAGGTGTGGGCGTGGCTTCCTGTTTAGAGGCCACAGGTGGGGAAGATGGTGATTTTATCCCATCAGTATTCCTTGCCCGAGGTGGCTTGACAGGAGCAACTGGTTTAGACTCGGATTCAGCAACAGATAGTCTAACTGGTTTAACTGGTTTCAAATCGGCAGGTAACAGGTCACTAGACGAAGACCTGACCACTGTGACTGGTTTGTGATCAACAGGCGTGTCGGTGGGTTGGATCCTAACTGGTTTGACTGGTTTTGATAAATCGGCAAATTCGCTAGTAGGAGTTCTAACCGGCTTCATATCAGCCAGTGATGCTCTCTGAGGCTTTGGAGGAATCGAAGCATCAGAGCTAACCCGTTTGACCGGTTTCTTGAAAGTGGGCGGAGGAATAGGGTGTGGCTGAATGCTACCCTCTTCCATGCTCTCTCGCTTTTTAATCTGTACAGGGGCCGGGGGCATTTTCTTAAAACCAGGCGGTGGGCGGGCAGGAGCCCGAGGGAGTTTACCGTAGCGTGGGTGAGGAACCTTCTCAGTCTCGGTATTACTGGTTGATTGACCGGTCGTTTTTGTAGCCTCTAGTGACTCTGGTAGTGGAGCCACATTGAGGTAATTGGAAAGCGGTCGTTTACGTCTTTCCTTCTCCTCGTAGACGTTCATGTAATCGCCGTCGCTGGCTTTATTAGAAACGTCAGGGAATATATTAGCATAATCAGAGTCAGGGTGAGGCCCTTCTTCTTCGTCTCTCTCTGGGCTTGGGGAAGCCTCCCTGACTCTAGTTGAAGCTCTTAGTCTTTCTCTAGCATAAGAATATCCTTCACCTTCTCCTCCCTCTTCTTCCTCTTCTTCTTGAGCGTCTCCGGGGTCTTGTTCCACTAACATGATGTCCTCCATTTCGAGTTGATCCTCTTCATCATCGTCAGTCATTCTCTGTTCTATTCTCAAGGGGGTGGAGTCACGGGCCGGACGAGTGGGCGGGGGATTAAGAGGAGGTGGAGGAATAGGACGACCCTTTCTCCCCTTAGGAGACTATAATAATAATAATAATAGTATATTTATTTATTTCATTACCTCTGATGTTTTTTCATCATTCCTGCTTGGCCTTTCAGCAGACATAACAAAGCTTGAACGCTAAATGAAATAGGAAATATATAAACACACACACACATTTAAAATCCCTAATTGTAATTACATTGTTGTTAACTTAAATTATCAAAGGGCACATTCAAAAGTGGAATATATTACACTCCACATCTCTTGAGGGAGACAGAGACTAACATTATACAATATACAAACTACAATGAATATTATAATACTAAACTGGTTTTAACTACACAAATACCTCAAGTGTTTGAGATAAAGTGAGGCTGTTGTTCACGCACTGGTTCACAACAAAATGGGCAGACATTAACAAGAAATAGGAAATACTGACAAGCAATAGAAATAGCCCAAAACACAAAGTAGAGCATCATATTGTACTGTACTACAGTGGCTATGCATAATTGGAATGGGTGAGAGAGAAGTAGAAGGAATTCATGAAACTGAAATGAGATAAGATAAATAATAATAATAATAATGATAATAATAAGCAATAAAAGATGATTAAAAACTAAAAATGATTATTATTAAAACATTAGTAGAAGGACATTGAACAGTTATAAAGGTATGACTCCAGCCAATGGAACAAATGTTCATAAAATGTACCTCACACTTGTAGTATTGTTTGAAAACATAAGTAGGAACACTCACATTAAGCTATTAAATTATAAAATGATATTGAATATAAAAATAGCTTATTAACATTGTTCAAGTGGGTCACAATGGTTTCATTGTACTATCTGTATAGGAAGCCCATTTCTTTATATGCATACACACACACACACACACTATAAATGTATACATAAATGTACATGTATGGAAAAACGTGTACTACTGGTGTGTGTCTCTTATAATTAAGTTTATAGAAAAACAGTTTATAATTAGTATGCCAAATGATAGCAGGAATTGGTAAATATAGAAACGTGCAAGCAAATGTGCAACATGCAACACAATGAATACATGCATGTACATAATATATGTACAATGTATATAATAAAAGTATCAAAATGTGTTTGATATGTCTTTAAGTGTATGTACACAATTTAAATATGGACCAATAGTAATGTACATTCATGTATAAAATGCACCTAATATGTAGTACATATATACATGTACATGTATGTAACATAGATACATACATGTATATATGGACTATTATGTATTGATAGTGTCATTGATAAACATAACAATCAGCCATCATTATCTATAAACTCGTGTACTCAATAAAGTTGATTTTTCTTAAAATAAAACTTATACTTTCGTTTTAGTTTCAACATCATCTCCCTACTATGCATACATACAGTGATACACTGCATGTACATGTACATGCAAGTCTACATGTACGTCACATGTATTATTATTATAGCATGCTTTACTAGTGCATGCGCATGTACACATAATTTCAGTATAATGGCAATTACTTAAATAAACAACAGAAATACTTGTATAATCAATGTGCAATGAAACACTTCAAAAATATTTAAAACATCATCTATGATTATTGACAAACTTGCTGCCATCAAAAAAGCATCAAAAGCAACAAAGACTAACTGTACTATTGGAATACCAGTAAATATACATCAAGGAAGCTTGGGACTGGATATGAAATCATTTGGGAGGTTATAAGGCTTGATTAGAGGCACCAGACTCTGTACCCGTTTACACAACAGCTTAATGGATTACAACTACAATTTATACACTGTAAATGAGTGTGAACGAGACCCAATGGGAAAACTTTACCAAAAACAGTAAAAATCAAATATTATTATAGCCATGGCTGTGCTGGAAAGGTAATTATAGGTAAAGTTAAAGGCTGGGATATATTAGTACATGAGTACATGTATGCTTACCTGTAGGCAACGAGAGAGAAGAGAGAGTGGAGGGATACAGTTGCAGCAGATAAAAGTTTACTTGTAAAAGAGAGGAGGAGAGGCCATTGTCGTTCAGTGCAGGAAAATTATAATGATATTCATAGAAAGGGGTGGGGCTTGTTTTTTAAAGTGGGCGTTACTTCAAGGAACGCCTCTTTTTGTATTTTAAAAAATAATTATTTTTTGTTATCATGTCTGGGCTATTATCTTGCAGTCTAACAAACGCCTCTGTGCTTTGCAGCGGGAAACTGATCCCATATCACTCCCAAGCATCCCAGCCAGTCTTTGGAACCCTCCACAACTGCTCAGAGCCTTGCAATGGAGCATTCTTCAGCCAAGAGCAAGTGGACATACTCCATTACAGCAACCTAGTTCTATCTTGTCTCAGCATCATCACTGGATGCATAATCCTATTCCTCTACTTAATAAACTATTGCAAAATAAAGCACCCAGAGGCTCCCATATACTACATAGCAGGACTCCAGCTAGTAATATCAACAATGCAGCTAATATCAGGTCTATATGGAACCTTCAATTCAATGTCCAGCACTAATAGTAGCAGTGATAGTGAGGGATTGCATTGTGATGATAGATACAAGAATCACTTCAATGAATCCATACTGCTGCAAGATGGAGGAGACAATCCATTCTGTCTAACAATATTTGCAATACTCTATTATTCATTTCTCTCGATACTCTCATGGTGGACTGTGATAACAATCGAGTGGTTGGTGACATCAATAAAAAGAAAGATAACAAAAAAGAAATACTTATACATCATCAGTCACATAGCAGGTTGGAGCATACCAATACCATTCCTGTTCACTGCAGCATATCTAAATGCAGTATCAGGCAGCACCACTGAAATGACATGCTGGATTAGTAGAAGGAATGAGAGTCTATATCAGCTAGCTTTCATCATAACGCCACTTAGTGTATCACTGACTTTTAATAGCATGCTACTACTATTAGGATTCTGGATTAATTGCAAGAAAGGGAGACATCGTAACAGCCTATATCTCTCTTCAAGGAATGAAGAAGTCACCATACCTCAGCTAGCAAGGGTCAGTATATACAGTGTCCTACAGTTGGTGGTAATGGGCCTACTGCTTATGTGCTACCTGCATCAATACTGGTATCAAAGAGATGCTGAAATTAACTATCTTCAATTCATAGTGCATAAGCATGTATCATCATGTTACCCTCATGCAACTGATAATCATTTTATGTTTTTTATGACGGCTATACTACGAGTGATTTGCTTCCAGATTATGGGTGTGGTTCTGTTACTATGGATACTGAGAAGGGAGCTCTTGTGTAGGTATAGGTGCAAATATACTAACAACAACAACAACAACAACAACAATAGCAATAATAATAATAATAATAATAATAATAATAATAATAATAATAATAATAATAACTTAAATAATTTAAATGTAAGTAGATCATCGGCTGGTGAGCAATCATTGTCACTTCTTACAAATATAACTCCACAGAAAAGTTGATTAGTATAATATTTATATTTTTTATTTCATGGGTATTTTACAATGCAATATTAGTTTGTTGATATCACTTTACTTATTAAAACAATTCTATTAAAGTCATTTTTTTGGACAAAGCATGGGCTATAAGTCGGAATCAATTCTAACTTTCTACATAGCATAAGGACATCGATGTGTATCAGAAAATGTAATAAAAATTAGGGTTCATTTTTTAGCCATTTTAGAAAAAGGCATGGGCTAAGCTACTTCAATAAAAGAAGACAGTTTATTTCATTAATGTCCCTCACTGGAGTACATACTACATGTACATGTTAGTTACACATAATACTATTACTTAAACCAACAAAAATAACATTAAATGAACAACAAATTAAATAAACACATCAATATTGTCAACACACAAGTTGACTCCTACTCATCAATACTACTGTCACTATGTACAGTTGGCATACACAATACACATTCAAAATTCAAAATATTTTGTGACCATATATGGTAATGTGCTATGACTACCGTAGGCATCGCGTGATCACTAGTACACGTACAAGTACATCTTCATAATTGTATATAATAAGCTACCCACTAGTGTTTACTGAGAGATCAGACAATAGGGAGAGTACAAGATAAGAGAAGAGAAGACTACTAACAGTCAGTATAAGCTACTCCAGTAAAGAAAGGTAATGTATAGTGTATACAATATTTAATATTAGGCCACACTGTATAGAACTGTAACAAGAAATAGTGAGACTATAGGACAGGACAGGTTAGTGCATGAGAATAAGAAATGAATAAGTAAAAACCAACAATTAATAAAACAGCAAATTAACATAACATACATAATACAATACACATTAAATGTTAAGGTCAAATTCAATAAGTTTTAACTTACATAGAAAGTGTTTAATATTCATTGTATTAGTCCTTTATTGTGTCCAGTGATTATACACACAATCATCAATAGATGAGAAATCTATTGTTAGTGTCTTTATTGAAGGAATAAATTGTCTATTATATAAAAACAGCATGAAATAATATATTATAAACTTATACTGTAAGTGTAACAGTATTGATTTACTTAGATATGGCAAATGAAATAACACAAAAAACAAAAGATGATGGACTAGCACAAGAAACAAAAGATGAAATGGAAAAAGAAATTAAAAAAATAGAAGATGAAATACAACAATGGGAAGAAAGAGATAAAACACCAGAATACATCAAGCAAATGCAACAAGTCAAAGATGAAATGGAGTCTGAATATAAAAAAATAAAAACAGAAATGGAAAATGTGGTAACAGCAAAAGAAAGACATGATACAGGTAAAGATCATAACAAAAATTTGGAAAGCATAAAAAAAGAAAAAGAAATGAAAATAGAGAGACAAACAAAAGTGTACAAAGAAAAAATCAAAAAAATTAAAGATGAAAAAAAAATTAAAAAAGAAGAGGAAGAGTACAATAAAATAATCAAAAAAATAAATAATGAAGCAATGAATAAGACAGAGGAAGAAATTATTCAAAATGAAGAAAGATTAAAGAGACTATGTGACAAAGCAAAAGAGCTAAATGAAGAAATAGATGAAGCAAAAAAGTTAAAAGCTGAAGCTCATGATGTAAAAGAAACATTAAAATTACGAACAGAGAATGTTAAAAGAATATTAAAAGAAGCTACAGAGAAAGATACAATAGAAAGAATACAAGCTGAAGTAAGAGAGTTTAAAATAAAAAGGAGTAAACAATGGGATGAATATTACATGAAGATAGCCTGTTTAGCTGCTTTAAGAAGTAAAGATCCAAGCACACCAGTAAGCTAATAATGACTATTATAGTTATTATACAATATGATTACACAGGTTGGTGCTTGTATTGTCGACACTAAATCTTATCAAATAGTTGGGATTGGATACAACTCAATGCCTTCAGTTAAAGGAAGAAGTAATAATGACAAAATTTTTTCATGGAAAGGATTATCAGAGAATGCAAGCCAAAAACTAAAAGAAAAAAAAGACAAAGATTCAAAACTCAAATATCCTTTTGGTAATCTAGCACAAATGAAATAACATACATTATTCTAGTTCATAGTTGTTCATGCAGCCGTTAATGCTATTACAAATAGGACCAAAGATAAACTTGATGGTTGTACAATATACGTAACACTAAAACCTGATGAAGATTGTGCTCGTGCAATACAACTAGCTGGAATAAAAGAAGTAGTTTACTGCATGGTCACAAGAAAAGAGGAAAGAGAAAAAGAATCAGACATAAAGACAGCAGAGACATTTTTTGGAGCTAATACAATTGAAACAAGGTATAATGATATTATAAAACTATAAGTAGCAAACAAATTATGGTTACTGCAGTATTATAGTGTCAGTGTTACAAATAGTCCTTAATAGTTGTAATAATGTGAATGTTTTGTAAAAATTTAGAAAGCTGCCAATATCAAATAAAGATGGAGTGGCAAAAAAACTTAATGACAGAATAGAAGAGGCAAAGGAGTTACACAGAAAACAACACCTCAAGCAGCAAGGAGTTGAACAAGAAAGAGAAACCAAGCAAGGAGAATCAGAAGGAGAACCAAAGCAAGAAGGAGAACCAGAAGAGTCAGAGCAAGAAGGAGAAACCGAGCAGCAAAAGACCAAGCAAAAAGAAGCAGAGAAAGAGTTTGATGATATTAATATGCCATATAAAAATGCCATAACATGGGAAGAATTCTTCATGGGAATAGCAATACTGTCAAGAAAAAAACCAAGACAATATGATAGAAAACCAGAAGATGCAGTGAGATTCTAACTAATATATTAATTGCACATGTCAATGAACATGTACATGTATATACACATATTTTTTAGGTAGGAGCATGCATAGTGTCACCTAGCAACCAAGTAATGGCAGTTGGATACAGTGGATACCCTGAAGATATGAAACTCCAAGACATTTTACAGGAAGAAGATCAGAGAGGATATAGTTAGTATCAACAAACACAATACATTCATTACATATTCCTTTACAATAGTTGCACATGCTGAATACAAGGCAATAATAGGAGGACCAATAGTTAGAGGATGTACACTATATGTCACTTCATATCCGTGCAATGTATGTGCTAAACTTATAGTACAATCTGGCATCAGTGAAATAGTGTATGATAAAGATGCAGGAGACATAAATGCTAGGAAAATATTAAGATGTTGTCTTACAAGGTTAGCAACAATTTAAAAATTGAGTAACATTAATACCTACATGTGTATTAGGGAGTGTGAGGTTAGAAAAGGTGAGTTCTGTATTATATAACAGATTATAGTTTATTTATTATTAAATAGAGTTTAAAGAAATTTTGTACAAGTGATTATACAAGAGAAAACAGCTTACTATAGAATTAAAATCTATAATTAGTAATTACAATAATTAAAAAATTTATAACTAGTGATTAAATGCACATGTAATCGTATATTACTTCATTATGATATTTCTACTAACCTGTATTTAACTTTAGCCATGTCCAATAGTTTCCTGCTAGCAATCATGTGATCAGTATCATGATATTTATCACTGACGTATAATATCTCAGTGACACCAGACTGTATGATCAGCTTAGCACACTCATTACAAGGGAACAACGCAATATCCTTTTAAATTAGTTGAGTTCTATCATCAGCTGGTGAGCATCAATGTCACTTACAAACACACTTCCATTGGAAAGTTAATATGATTTATAAATAAGAGATTGCAATTACATATGAGGAGCAAAAAGATGAAAACAAGTTGAGGCTATAGGGAGCTACGCTAAAAGAATTAAATAAACATGCACACAAATATTGTCAACATACAAGTTGACTCCTACTCACCAACTATGTACAGTTGGCATACACAATACACATTCGAAATTCAAAATATTTATGGTCATATATGGAAATGTGTTACTAGTGAGTAGCTTATTATATACAATTATGAAGATGCACTTGTACGTGTACTAGTGATCATGCAATGCCTACTGTAATCATGTTTACTGAGAGATCAGACTAGAGGGAGTACAAGATAAGAGAAGAGAAGACTACTAACAGTCAATATAAGCTACTCCAGTAAAGAAAGGTAATGTATACTGTATACAATATTTAATATCAGGTACTAATTATACACGTAACATTCAAGACCAATAATATAATTAAGCCTACGTTATAGAAAGTGTTTGATATTCATGT